TTTGTGATCCACCCTGAGCTTGCTTTACCTTCTTGACTGGTCTTGTGACCCCTTGTTCTCCCCCACTTTGCCTATGGGGGTGTGTCAAACTTATATATGCTATAGTCTGTTTAGGCTGGATTGGGGTAGTCCTTAGAGGGTACAACACTTTTGTGTTTGTTACTTGTACCCCACCTGTTTCCTAGTTCATCCATTCCTCTCATGATTCTCACAGGGGGGGGAGAGAGGCAGCGCGGTAGGGAAAGAGACGGTAGTAAGACATCGACTCGTCAAACGTGACGTCCTGAGAGGACAGAACACGACGCGAGGTGGGGTGGTAGAACTGCCACCCGGGTGCGTCAGGGGGGAAGCCAAGGAAGATGCAGGGAACGGCACGGGAGGACAGCTTGTCCGCTGAAGTATCGCGGACAAAAGCTCGAGATCCCCAGACACGGAACGCGGACGCATTGGGATAAAAAGGCTTTTTAAGTAGCGGGTCAGTGCGCCCATAACCCCCCAGGACAACGAGCCTGTAACCCTTCCCTAGGATCAATCGGGGATCACCAGTGGACCTCTGACACCCCCCCGCACTGGGATGCCCGAAGTGCACACACTGGGATTCGAACCCGAGACCTTCACTCTGATACCATGTTAGAATCAGGAACGGAATGGATGAACTAGGAAGCAGGTGGGTACAAGTAGGAAACCTAAAAGTGTTGTACCCTATATGAACTACCCCACGACAGCCTAAACAGACTATAGCATATATAAGTTTGACAAAAACCACATGGTACACCACCTACAACAAGTGAGATACACTACAGTCTACACTACAGACAGTTATAAATAATATATAAGTATATTCTAACAGCTGCTGCTCCCAAGTTGCCGCGTCGCCGCGAGAAGCACCTACAGCTAAGATACTCTTCTCAGCTGCAGTGAGGCGCTCCTCTAGCAGGTCGACGGTGAGCTCGGTGGGGCAAAGGGAGAGAAAGTGGTCCCTGACTGAAGCAAGGGAGTCAGGGAGGCGGGTGACTAGGTATTAAAGGGTGATGTACATGGGGGGGGGGTTCTTGGCACAGAACTCAGTGGGAAGCGCAGCTCGGTAGCGGGCGTCACTAGTGCGGAGGTGAGTAATGAGGTCAGCGACTGTGGCAAAGGCGGCAAGGTCAGGGAACAGGTACGGCAGCATGAGGCGGCTGAGGGCAGCAGTGGCAGGGGAGGATTAGCGCGCTACTACAGCGTCATACAAAGACTGAGCAGTCTTGTACTGGCCAAAGTGCGCGCGCTCAGCAGACGGCAGGTGACTACGAACAGCAAGGCGAGCAACAGCGTCACGAGTGGTCCACTGTGAGCGAACCGTACTGTCAGCAGTGGCAGCAGGTGCAGTAGAGACACCGGACGTGTGATCGAAAAGGGATACCCCGTCCCTAGAGTCACACTGAGAGCTGCAGGTCGTCAACCCACACGTCAAAGTCAACTGCACGCCCCTCAGCATCAAATGTAAGAACAGTAGGGCTAGCCATAGCGGCAGTAGCAGCAGTGGCAGCAGAAGCAGCAGTAGCAGCAGGAGCAGCGCAGGCAGGGCAGTGCGGCTCAGTAGGGCAGTGCGGCTCGGTAGGGCGGCGCGGCTCGGTAGGGCGGCGCGGCTCGGTAGGGCGGCGCGGCTCGGTAGGGCGGCGCGGCTCGGCACGGCGGCGCGGCTCGGTGGGCGGCGCGGCTCGGCTGGGCGGCGCGTCTCGGCTGGGCGGTGTGGCTCGGCTTGGCGGCGCGGCTCAGCTCCTGGCGGCGCGGCGCCTCAGGGCGGCGCGGGTGCTTACCAGGGGCGGGTGCAGGGCAGGGCCGCAGCTGTCGGCTCAGGCCAGGGCCGCGACTGGGGCGGCAGCAGGGCAGGGCCGTGACAGGGCGGCTGCAGGGCAGGGCCGCGACGGGCGGCGAAGGCAGGGCCGCGACTGGGGCGGCAGCAGGGCAGGGCCGCGACAGGGCGGCAAAGGCAGGGCCTGCGACGGGCGGCAACGGGCCGGCGACGGGCGGCAACGGGCCGGGACGGGCCGGCGACGGGCCGGGACGGGCCAGCGACGGGCGGCGAAAGGCAGGGCCGCGATAGGGCGGCTGTAGGGCAGAGCCGCAATGGGCGGCGAAGGAAGGGCCGCGACGAGTGGCGACGCGCCAGCTACGGGCTGCGACGGGCCGGGACGGGCCGGGACGGGCCAGCGAAGGGCGGCGAAGGCAGGGCTGCGACGGGCCAGCGAAATCAGGGCCGCGACGGGCCGCATTAGGGCAGGGCGCGTGACGGCGCAGGTGAGGCAGGCGCGAGGCGCGCTTCGGTCAGGGCAGGAAAAAAAAAATGGTGGGCCCTAAAAAACGTTTCCACTAGGGAACCTGCTCAGAATACCATGTCAGAATAGTGAAGGAATGAATGAATGAATAAGCAAGGAGGTGGGTACAAGTAGGAAACCTAAAAGTGTTGTACCCTATATGAACTACCCCACTACAGCCTAGATAGACTATAGCATATAAGTTTGAAAGTAGCCCGCCACGCCACGCATGTGTAGTTTTTTTAGAGCGTACGCGGCATCACTTACAAGCATGTAGTTGCCTAGTTCTCCCGCTTCCTTGCACTCCTTCAGTGGTGAATTGTTGAACACCCGTGCGTCATTCACACTTCCGGGGTAGCCGGCGTTGTAATCCCAAATGATTCCGTTGCTGTCACATGCTATCTGCAGGTGTATGGAGTAGAGTCCCTTCCTGTTCTTAAAGTCTTCCTTGTCTCGCCCAAACCCCCTGCACTCTATGAATGTACCGTCCAACGCACCAATCACACCCGGAATACCCCCTTCGTATCTAGACTCCTCTGCTATCTCGGCGCATTGCTCAGGTAATGGGTGAGAGACCCACAGAGGCTCTAGAATGTCTACTGTGAAGGCTATGAAGCGATGGATGATTCGGAAAGCGTGCGTGGGTACTACTCCAAATTGCAATGCCATTTGACGAAATGTGGCACCCGTGCCTAGATAGACAAGAGTCATTGCCACACAAGTATCAATAGGCACTACTCTCCGCCTGTCCCCGTACCTCGTGACCCACGCGTCAACTAGGTATTAAAAAACGGGACGATTAACTCTGAACGTCTCCATGAAAATGTGGTTGGGCATAGCCCCGAGGAGAACATCCCACCGCGCTCTCTGGTTCTCACGGTCGCGTCGCATAATGTTACGGTCTTCATCTTCTAGCAGCAATATCATGTCTGCGAGTTGGTCAATGGCTGGCCTAACCATAAACTCCTGGTAACCTCTGTATAACAGGTGAAGTACAGAGAGTAGGAGCCTCCTGGATATGGCGAAACTACGTGAGTAGTGTGTATGTGCTCTGTGTACATGTCTGTCTGTGTGCTGGTTTCGATGTATCAAGTTGTGTGGTGTGCTGGGTGGGTGTGAATGTTTGAAATCGAGCCGCCGTGTGGTGAGCGAAACTGGCGAGAGTGTGTGACTGGGGTTACGATGGTACAGTAGCTCTAGCGAGTCCACAGTACTTCGGTAGTTTCAGAAGTAGAGAAAAGTCACGTTTTTGCCTTCGGACAGTCTGCAGTTTCGAATTTTCGAAACGGACTGTCCGGTACCCGCTATTGGACCGTCCGCTTCGATACAAGTGGACTGTCCGCGAAAACACAAAATAAAAAAATAAAAAAAGGCACACGCCCTTAGCAGTAACGGGCGAACAACGGCTGCTGCTGTACACTATGTGGACGGTCGCAGTAAGGAATAGAGAGAAAATTCCTTACACCGACTCAAACACTACTTGTACAGTGTACAGTTTGGTTAGAACGCGAAGTTACCAGCCAGGATTACCAGATGCACCGTTCATTACCATTCGCGCAATAATGTTGACCATCTAGGCATGATGGTTACCACAGTGGCGAAGATAGGATACCTCTGTTACGATCTGGACACGTGGCTACCTTGGGTGTGATTGAGCCCAATGTGTATTACCGCGGAGGTAAATGCCCCCGCCAACACAGCAGCATGGGTTCTGCCCCTCCTTGGTGTTGGTTTGCAAGTCTGGCAGTGAGCATTTCTCGAGACTTGTTCAGGTTCCTCTCCTCTCCTCCCCTCCCCTCTCCTCTCATGTCTGCTAATACTGTACTACTAGAGCAGCGGTTTCTCGCGCCAATATTGTTCCATTGCCTTGCGAGACGAGGATCTGGTGTTGTGTGATCGGGCTCCAGTCCAGTAATCTGTGCTCTGACGTCTGTCCCTACCAAGCAACGCGATATGAGCGGGAATGGCGAGAGAGACGCACGCGCATAGGTAGACTGGTATCTTCTACATCCGCCTTCACGATCGCAGCTGCCTTCGCTTATACACCAATCCTACATCAGGCTTCACCCGCCGAGAATCCATAACTGGTTTTTCGTTTACTCAAGTTTCATTCACCGTACTACTCGTTTTCGTGTACCGTATTTCTCGTTTTCGTCTACCATTTACCAGTAATACCTAGTCTTGAAGCCCGCACCATTCTCCAGGCAATTCATTTTCTATGACTGTTATTGTATCAGACACGCTAGCCTGTACTCCGTCTTCACCGACTGCTCAATACTCTTTCCGTCGACTATTCCGTCAACAACTTTCCGTCAACTACCTTCTGTAAACAATTTCACGTCAGCTCATTGACTCGCCAAAACCACAGGGCCTCTCGTGCAGTTTAAATGCAACTTATAGCAGTCGCTGCTGAGTCACCGTCCGAAAGTTAAGGTGCCTGTATCGGCGTAAGAGCTTTTCAGCTCACGTGGCGTCGCCACGTCGGACACGTAGATTTACTTTAGGTTTCGGCCATATCGCGAAGCCTAACGACCCTCATTCGCAGACTGGACTCTAGTCTCTTGTTCCAGGAAGTTTCTTAGGCAAGTCGCCAGTCGCCAAGAAACCGATGAATAACGTGAAAGCGGGATAGTTTAACGGAACCGACAATAGCCGATAGTCCAATAAACCGACCGTCTTCCCAATTACCCAGCCCCTGTTCTCATGTTTCCGCATCGTGGCAGTGCAGCACCAACCGTCCCTCCATTCCTCTCCGCCCCCTCGCCCAACTCCCAAGCCCCCACCATGTCATTCGAGCCTCTCTCTCTCGCCTCCCTCCTCTCCCTTCCCGTCGAAGCGGTTTCCGCGAAGCTTCGCTCCACGCCGCCCGCGCATTTGGAGCAGCTGCGCGTCTCGCTATGGGACATCCTCGGCACGCCCGACCGCAAGCCGGAGTTTCTCTCCCTCCAGCGCCTGCTTATGACGCGTACGGGCGCCGGCGCGGGCCTTATCACAGAGTCCCTCTCCCGCGCACACTACACGCATCTTAAGATCCTCGTCGCGGTTCGGACCGGCATCCAGGCGTTTCTACACCCCGATATCGCCATCCCGCCGACGTCTTTAATCGAAATCTTCCTCCGCCGCCGCTGCCAGAACATGGCCTGCCAGAGCCCGCTTCCCGCGGGCGGCTGCCGCTGTCGTTTCTGCACGACGGGCAACGGCGAACCGGGGGGATCCGGCCGGGCGGGAACAGACGGGGGAGCGACAAATACCGCCGGAATTTCCGGTACCACCAGCGCCAACATCACTGGTGCTATCACCAGGGGTAACTCAGGCGCAGGCACAAGCGCTGGTATTGCTTCTAGCACGGAAATCGGCGGAGGATTTTGCAATTTGTGCATGTGTGTCGCATGCGGGAAGTTCGATTTCGACACCAACACGTGTCGGTGGATCGGATGCGATTTTTGTCTGCACTGGTGCCACACGGATTGCGCGCTCCACATGGGCTTCGTGCGCCATGGCGCAGTGGGGGCGGGGGGAAGCGCGGGGGGCGCGGGGGGAAGAGGCGGAGGGCAGGCGGGCGGGGGGGCTGCGGAGGGCTCCGCGGACGGGGCGACGGCGGCGACGAGTGCGCAATTCGCGTGCCCCGCGTGCGCGCGGTCGTCGGAGCTGTTTGGGTTCGTGCGCGACGTGTTCCGCCTGTGCTCCGCGCAGTGGGACGCGGAGGCCGCGCGGAGGGAGCTGGAGTGCGTGGGGGGGATCTTCGGCGCGAGCACGGACGCGCTCGGGCGCGAGCTTGCGCGGAGGGCGGCGCTGGCGCTGAGGGAGCTGCGGGAGGGGCGCAGGGCGTGCGCGGACATTTGTCGCGACATGCAGCTTTTCTTCGCCAGCAGTGAGTGGGGTGGGTGTCGTTTGGCTTGCTTGTATTCAAGCCGCCGCTTACAGAAGGTTACATTCAGGGTTTGTGCGGCGCTTGGAAGTTAGGGCTAGGGTATGTTTGCCCTCGTGTGCTCTCTTCGTGCTCTAACAGGTGATACGCTGTCCTGATCTGCTGTGTCGCATCAACTCACCACTGTTGTTCTGATTCGTCCCATTGTCGTTTACCTTTGCCTTTTGCCATTACTCACTTGCTTCCTGCATCCGGCTCGACTGTTTTTCGCCATCACCATCCCTTCGCCCTGCAGACGCCTCGTTCGTCCTCCAGTCTCCCCACTTGTTTTTGCTTGCTCTCTAAGGTGCCCCTTTTTATCGCCATCCCCATCCCTTCGTCCTGCAGGCGCCTCGTTCGTCCCTGCTCCTCCCAATCCTGCCACCCCCGCCGCTTCAGCTGCTTCTGCTCCTCACCCTCCCCCAACAATGGTAGCGCCTTCCCCTGCTCCTCCCGTCGCCGCATCTGCTCCCATCGCTGCCCCTCCTGCTCCTGCTCCTCCTCCTCCTCCTGCTGCTGCTTCTACTGCCGCTTCTCCCATCCCTCCCACGGGCCCGGCTGTCTCCGCCTCAGGCTCGGCCAGACCTGCTCCCGGGCTTCCCGGTCCAGGTTCGGGCCATACCAGACCCAGCTCCGGTCCCACCGCACCCACATCAGCGCTTTCCAAACCTCCGTCTCTGCCTCGGTACCAATCCAGCCTGGAAGCAGCGCGAGAGGCTCTGGCGGAATGCCATAGGGACGTGCTAGGGAAGCGGAAAGAGGCAGCAGCGGTGGAGGAGGAGCGAGCGCGGAAGAAATGGCAGGTGCAGGAGCTAGAAGCGGTTGCTGCGTCGCGATTGGCTGACGCGGAACGTATGGAGAGAGAAGCGGCAGAGGCGAGGAAAGAGGTCGAGGTGCTGAAGATGATTATATCGGTGAAAAAAACTACTTCGGAGGAGGAGTTTCGGCGGAGAGGGGTGGATTTGGCTTTGGAAGAGGCTGAGGCCAAGTATAGGAAGATGCTGGGGGTTGTGCAGGCGTTGGAAAGGGAAGACGGGCAGGGGGGGAGTGAGAAGGGGAAGGAAAGGGAGAGTGAGAGAGAGAGGGAGGGGGAAAGGGAGCGAGAGAGGGGAAGAGAGATGGGAGGTGAGAGGAGAAGAGAGAGGGAGCATGGTGAGGTTTCGTGGCCGCAGGTGCCTGATCAGAACAAACAGCAGCAGCAGGCTCAGCAGCAACAGCAGCAGCAGCAGCAGCGACAGCACCAGCAGCAACAGCAGCAGCAGCAACAGCAGCAGCAGCAGCAGCACCAGCTGCACCAGATGCAGCAACACCAGCAGCAGCAGCAGCAGCAGCAGCAGCAGCAGCAGCAGCAGCAGCAGCAGCAGCAGCAGCAGCAGCAGCAGCAGCAGCAGCAGCAGCAGCAGCAGCAGCAGCAGCAGCAGCAGCAGCAGCAGCAGGAGCAGCAGCAGCAGCAGCAGCAGCAGCAGCAGCAGCAGCAGCAGCAGCAGCAGCAGCAGCAGCAGCAGCAGCAGCAGCAGCAGCAGCAGCAGCAGCAGCAGCAGCAGCAGCAGCAGCAGCAGCAGCAGCAGCATCAGATGCAGCAGCACCAGCAGCAGCAGAACCAACAGCATCAGCAACAACAGCAGCAACTCCATAATCAGTTTCAACAGCAGCAGCAACAGCAACAGCTTCAACAGCAGCACCGGAATCATTTTCAGCAGCACCATCAGCAGCAGCTGCAGCAGCAGCAGCAGCCCAATCAGCAAAACCAGCAGCACCAGAACCAATATCCGATGCAGCACCAGCAGCAACAGCGGCAGCAGCAGCAGCAGCAGCAACAGCAACAGCAGCAGGCGTGGCAAATGCAACACGCGATGCAGCAGCAGCAGTCGAGGATGGGTGGTGGGCTTAGTAACGAGCCTCTTCCCAACAGCAACCAAGCGCTCACACGAGGGGCACCACCCTACGGAGCATCACAGATCCCACCAGCACATGCAGCACAAGGAGCACAAGCAGTGCAAGCAGCACCGGCGTTGCAAGGAACACGAGCAGCACCCGCGTTACAGGCAGGGCAGGTAAGGCAGCGAGCGGATGAGCAAGGAACAGCAGAGAGGGCAGCAACAGCTCAGCAACTTGCAGCACAGCAGGTGGCTGAAGAGGTTCAGACGGTCAGACAGCTAGCCCGACAGCAAGTCGCACAAGAGCAGCAGAAGCAGCAGCAGAGGCAATTGCAGCTGCAGCAGCAGCAGCAGCAGTATAGGGGGGAGGACGGGAAGATCAGTGGGGGGAGGAGGTTGGGCGTGGAGTTAGGGAGCGAAGACGGCAGGGGGGGTGACGAGGGAGAAGGAGAGGGAAGGAAGGAGAAGGTTGCTTGGTGGAAGACGGAGGCTGGTCGGGGTGGAGAGCGGTTGACAGGCATGAACGAGGAGGCAGAAGGGAATGGGCAGGAACAGCAGACTCAGCAGCGGCAGAATCTGCAGCATCAGCATCAGAATCAACTGCTGCTGCAGCAAAGGCGATTGGATTTGCAGCAGCAGCTGCAGCAGTTGCAGCAGCACGGGCAGGGGCAGGGGCAGGGGCAGAAGAAGCGGAAACGGCTAGTTTTGGACTTAGAAGCTGATACTGTAGAAGAGCAGGAGGAGGAGATGGAAGAGGAGGAGGAAGGGGGAACGGGAAAGCACCGTCCAAAGCAGCAGCTGCTACAGCCACATGAGCAGAGCCTGCAAGGGAGAGAGGGGCAACGGGAGCAGCGTGAACAGCAGGCGCAGTGGGAGCGGCAGGGGAGGCAGGAGCAGTGGGAACAGCAGGGGAGACAGGGGCAGCGGGAGCAGGAGGGAGGACAGAGGGAGCAGCAGGAACAGCAGGCACAGCAGGGGAGACAGGAGCAGCGGGAACAGCAGGGGAGACTGGGGCAGCGGGAACAGCAGGGGAGACTGGGGCAGCGGGAACAGCAGGGGAGACTGGGGCAGCGGGAACAGCAGGGGAGACAGGAGCAGCGGGAGCAGGAGGGACAGAGGGAGCAGCAGGAACAGCAGGCACAGCAGGGGAGGCAGGAGCAGCGGGAGCAGCGGGAGCAGGAGGGACAGAGAGAGCAGCAGGGAAGGAGGGAGCAGAGGGAGCAGCAGGGGCAGCAGTGGAGGCTGGAGCAGCGGGAACAGCAGGGGCAGCAGGTGCAGGAAAAGAGGCAGCAGCAACAGCAAGGCGTGGATCCGAGTAGTTATGAAAGCAGCAGGAGACAATCACAGTTTGGTGCTGTTACAATAGCCGAAAGTCAGGGTTCGGAAGGGAGATACCTCACAAGGGCAAATGGGGCAGCTTGGAAGGAGAAAGAGAAGGTGACGGAGGAGAGGGAGAAGGAGAAGGAGAGGGAGAGGGAGAGGGAGAAGGAGAGGGAGAGAGAGGAGAGGGAGAAGGAGAGGGAGAGGGAGAGAGAGCGGGAGAGGGAAAGGGAGAGTGAGAGGGAGATAAAGAAAGAGAAGGAAAAGGAGAATGATTATGTGGAGGTGGAAGACGGTGGGGCCAGGAATCAGAGGCTGGAGGGGAGAGAAAGAGGGGGTAGTGAGAAGGAGAAGGACGAGGAGAAGGACGAGGAGAAGGAGAATGATCGAATGGAAGTAGAAGAATGCGGGTCGAGGAAGCAGAAGGATCAGGGAGGCAGCAGAGATAAAGCAGAAGATGGAGACATCAGGGAGGGGAAGGGACGGGTGGATGAGAAGGGACCCGGAGGGGGAGAGAAGAGTACCCGAATCCAGAGAGAAGGGGGTCCGAGAGGGCATGAGTTGAAGACGTCCCAAGGAAACGAGCGCTCGGTAGGGGATACCCAAGAAATCAGGATGAGTTCAGCTCTTGCGAAGCTTGTGAAGCAACATGATTCACGTCAGGTTGAAACAAAGCCTATCTCCCCAGGGAGGCGTGGTGAAAGGGGTGTTTCAAGAGATGGGTTCGATGCGGTTGAGAGGGATAAGGAGAGGCAGAAGGAAAAGGTCAAGGATATGGGTGAGTGGAAGGAGAAGCATGGGCAGAAGGATGGGATGAAAGGTCATGAGGAGGGTCAAAAGACTGCTGCTGCTGCGCAAGAGGGGCGACAGGGGCAAAAGGGTGAAAAGGAGCGACAGGGGCAAGAGGGGGAAAAGGAGCGACAAGGGCAAGAGGGGCGGGAGGGGGAAAAGGGGGGACAGGGACGAGAGGAGCAAACAGGGCAAAAGGGACGAGAAGGGGGTCTGACAGATACTAAGGTGCGGGGACTGGTAGGTAAAGAGAAGGCAGATGAAGGGAAGGCAGATGAAGGGAAGGCAGGTAAAGAGAAGGCAGATGAAGAGAAGGCATCTGGGGAAGGTACAGCTGGGGAAGGTACAACTGGGAAAGGAGATGTTACTGAGAAGGAAGGTGCTTCTTCCGACAGCAATGTGGAAGAGGTGGAAGAGGAGAGCGGTGCAGAGCGGTTGAGTGAGAGAAAACGGGTTGAGGCAACTGTTGAAGGAACAGTTGCTAGGGAGAAGGGGGAGAAGGAAAAAGCGGAGAGGGGGGAGAGGGAGAGGGGGGGAGCTGGAGGGGAGGGAAAGGGGGATGAGTAGAAGGATGGGAAGAGAGAAGGGGAAGGGAATGGGGGTTTCGCAGGTCAAGAGAAAATCGAGCGCGGACGCTGCTACTGGTACTGCTGATACTGATGGTGGTTTGGATAAGGTAAGGCCAGGAGGAGTGGGGGAGAAGGAAGGTAGGGAGGTGAAGGAAGGGGAAAAGGGAAAGGGACGGGTGGGGAAGGAGGGGAAGGGAAGAGAGGAGAGTGAGTGAGGTGAGGAGTGTTAGTAGGTGAATGTCAAACCAGATGATGCGAGATCTGTGAGAAAGGGAGGAATGGGGGAATGTCAAACCATAATTGTTTTTGCAGAAGTTTTTTTTTATGATGAGTAAGAGAGCTAGCCATGTGAGCAGCTTATTAAGGCATATGGAGCGGAGAGCTTGAGTAACGAGAGGACTGTTTATGGTGTCTTATGTGGGGATATGGTAGATTGGTTATGTGTACTTAGCAGAATAGTGTCCGTCAAATGGGCGGGCTACTGTTTGTGATGTTACTGCTAGTTGGCACTCTAAATGGGCTAACTTGATAGGGCCAGTTGGATCAAAGGAGGTGTTTTATTAATAAACCCAGCTAGCTGCTTGTACGGTATGTACATTCCTTGTTCACTGCTCATATTTTCGCTAATTGTTCAGTAACAGAATTTCTGTACTTACTGGTGAAACAACAGAATTCCATCGCCACCACTAGTTAGTGACCGGAGTGGTTGTACGCGATTGTGGCATCGCACAGGGAATACAGTAACAATGAAAACGCGCTCACTCCCATCTCGTCTTTTTCTGATCACTGCTCTCTCGATACTCACGCCTGCTAGGCTGCACGATCGTAATCGTATCTTTCGCGCCGTTTGCGGTATTAGTTAGACTGTTCTGGTCTCCGTATTCGCACATGCGAATTAAGTCGGTGCTATGGAATCTGGGGTTGCAGAGGGTAAGGAGGTAGGCGCGTTGGCGGTGGACGCCGCGCCGCGTGCGGCGGAGATTAAGGACGCGAAGGACCGCCGGTGGGATCGTAGCGAGATTCGCGGCATGTGGGAGTTTGCGTCGATACTTGATTTTTTCAGAGTAATAATTCGCGTTCATGCGTCGCAAGCGTAGGACATAAGCGTCGCCGTTGATTTCACGGTTGGATTGGAAACAGGACTTTCCGCGGTTACCGGCACTTGGTCGCGTTAGTATGATAGCATGAGAAAAAGTTGCAGAGTCTTTCTTTTTGTAACGGTAGATCAAAATTATTTCATGCGCTATATCAGCTTCCCGTTTCCAAATCCTTCTGAGGTGAACGAGCTTAAATGGCGATTCGGGATCTCTCGCGTCGCGTTATTCGCGCCGCGATCATCGAACCATGGCCTCTGCCTCACTCGCGTGTCTTCACTGAATATTCCCCGTAATCCTCCGTCGCAATATCCTCATATACTTCATGTCTCTCCGATCCTGCTCAAATCCATTACGTTTTTTTCCCAGATTTTCCGGGAGCCGCTACAACTTAACTTCGACGCTACAGCCGAAGACATCGAAACGGCTCTGCTAACCCCGGACCCGTCTCCGCTTCTTAAAGACATACACATTACGCTTCTTAAGGTGACTAGGGTTTGCTCGCAGCGCCACGCGACTTGGCATCACTGGCCTATGGCGGTTCGTAGTCGCGTCGAGCATCCATCCTAACGTAACGCAACGTTATTTCCTTTTCGTAGCGCTTGTTCGGTTGACGGAATCCGTTAGGGTTAGTCGGCTTACTGTAGGCGGCGCTCAGCATCTGCTGTCAGCTTGTCGACGCTTATCAGTAGAGTGGTTACCTTTTGGCAATTTCTGTGTTTCGCCAGTGGTTTCATTCCGCAAAGATTATGGTTTCTTCAGGCATTCAGGCACTCCGGCATTCAGGCATTCAGGCATTCATGCATTCATTCTTTCGGGCATGCAGACATTCAGGCGTTCAGGCATTCAGGCTTTCAGGCTTTCAGGCATTTAGGCATTCAGGCATTCAGGCATTCAGGCATACAGGCATACAGGCATTCATTCAATCAGGCATTCATGCATTCAGGCATTCATGCATTCACACATTCATGCATTCACGCATTCATGCATTCATGCATTCACGCATTCATGCATTCATGCATTCACGCATTCATGCATTCATGCATTCATGCATTCATGCATTCATGCATTCACGCATTCACGCATTCACGCATTCACGCATTCATGCATTCATGCATTCATGCATTCATGCATTCATGCATTCATGCATTCATGCATTCATGCATTCATGCATTCATGCATTCATGCATTCACGCATTCACGCATTCACGCATTCACGCATTCACGCATTCATGCATTCATGCATGAATGCATGAATGCATTCACGCATTCACGCATTCATGCATTCATGCATTCATGCATTCATGCATTCATGCATTCATGCATTCATGCATTCACGCATTCACGCATTCATGCATTCATGCATTCATGCATTCACGCATTCATGCATTCATGCATTCATGCATTCACGCATTCATGCATTCATGCATGAATGCATTCATGCATTCATGCATTCATGCATTCATGCATTCACGCATTCACGCATTCATGCATTCATGCATTCATGCATTCACGCATTCATGCATTCATGCATGAATGCATTCATGCATTCATGCATGAATGCATTCATGCATTCATGCATGAATGCATTCATGCATTCATGCATTCATGCATTCATGCATTCATGCATTCACGCATTCATGCATTCATGCATTCAGGCATTCATGCATTCATGCATTCATGCATTCATGCATTCATGCATTCATGCATTCACGCATTCATGCATTCATGCATTCACGCATTCATGCATTCACGCATTCACGCATTCATGCATTCACGCATTCATGCATTCATGCATTCACGCATTCATGCATTCATGCATTCATGCATTCATGCATTCACGCATTCATGCATTCAGGCATTCATGCATTCACACATTCATGCATTCACGCATTCATGCATTCATGCATTCACGCATTCATGCATTCATGCATTCACGCATTCATGCATTCATGCATTCATGCATTCATGCATTCATGCATTCACGCATTCACGCATTCACGCATTCACGCATTCATGCATTCATGCATTCATGCATTCATGCATTCATGCATTCATGCATTCATGCATTCATGCATTCATGCATTCATGCATTCATGCATTCACGCATTCACGCATTCACGCATTCACGCATTCACGCATTCATGCATTCATGCATGAATGCATGAATGCATTCACGCATTCACGCATTCATGCATTCATGCATTCATGCATTCATGCATTCATGCATTCATGCATTCATGCATTCACGCATTCACGCATTCATGCATTCATGCATTCATGCATTCACGCATTCATGCATTCATGCATGAATGCATTCATGCATTCATGCATTCATGCATTCATGCATTCATGCATTCATGCATTCATGCATTCATGCATTCATGCATTCATGCATTCACGCATTCACGCATTCATGCATTCATGCATTCATGCATTCATGCATTCATGCATTCATGCATTCATGCATTCATGCATTCATGCATTCATGCATTCACGCATTCACGCATTCATGCATTCATGCATTCATGCATTCACGCATTCATGCATTCATGCATGAATGCATTCATGCATTCATGCATTCATGCATTCATGCATTCATGCATTCATGCATTCATGCATTCATGCATTCACGCATTCATGCATTCATGCATTCAGGCATTCATGCATTCATGCATTCATGCATTCATGCATTCATGCATTCATGCATTCACGCATTCATGCATTCATGCATTCACGCATTCATGCATTCACGCATTCACGCATTCATGCATTCACGCATTCATGCATTCATGCATTCACGCATTCATGCATTCACGCATTCATGCATTCATGCATTCATGCATTCACGCATTCACGCATTCATGCATTCACGCATTCACGCATTCATGCATTCATGCATTCACGCATTCACGCATTCATGCATTCATGCATTCACGCATTCACGCATTCATGCATTCATGCATTCACGCATTCATGCATTCATGCATTCACGCATTCATGCATTCATGCATTCACGCATTCATGCATTCATGCATTCACGCATTCATGCATTCATGCATTCACGCATTCATGCATTCATGCATTCATGCATTCATGCATTCATGCATTCATGCATTCATGCATTCATGCATTCATGCATTCACGCATTCATGCATTCATGCATTCACGCATTCATGCATTCACGCATTCATGCATTCATGCATTCACGCATTCACGCATTCACGCATTCACGCATTCACGCATTCATGCATTCATGCATTCATGCATTCATGCATTCATGCATTCATGCATTCATGCATTCACGCATTCACGCATTCATGCATTCATGCATTCATGCATTCACGCATTCATGCATTCATGCATGAATGCATTCATGCATTCATGCATTCATGCATTCATGCATTCATGCATTCATGCATTCATGCATTCATGCATTCACGCATTCACGCATTCATGCATTCATGCATTCACGCATTCACGCATTCATGCATTCATGCATTCACGCATTCATGCATTCATGCATTCACGCATTCATGCATTCATGCATTCACGCATTCATGCATTCATGCATTCACGCATTCATGCATTCATGCATTCACGCATTCATGCATTCATGCATTCACGCATTCATGCATTCACGCATTCACGCATTCATGCATTCATGCATTCATGCATTCATGCATTCATGCATTCATGCATTCACGCATTCACGCATTCATGCATTCATGCATTCACGCATTCATGCATTCACGCATTCATGCATTCATGCATTCATGCATTCACGCATTCATGCATTCATGCATTCACGCATTCATGCATTCATGCATTCATGCATTCATGCATTCATGCATTCATGCATTCATGCATTCACGCATTCACGCATTCATGCATTCATGCATTCATGCATTCACGCATTCATGCATTCATGCATGAATGCATTCATGCATTCATGCATTCATGCATTCATGCATTCATGCATTCATGCATTCATGCATTCATGCATTCATGCATTCACGCATTCATGCATTCATGCATTCATGCATTCATGCATTCATGCATTCATGCATTCATGCATTCATGCATTCATGCATTCATGCATTCATGCATTCACGCATTCATGCATTCACGCATTCACGCATTCATGCATTCACGCATTCACGCATTCATGCATTCACGCATTCATGCATTCATGCATTCATGCATTCACGCATTCACGCATTCATGCATTCATGCATTCACGCATTCACGCATTCACGCATTCACGCATTCACGCATTCATGCATTCACGCATTCATGCATTCATGCATTCATGCATTCATGCATTCATGCATTCATGCATTCATGCATTCATGCATTCATGCATTCATGCATTCATGCATTCATGCATTCATGCATTCATGCATTCATGCATTCATGCATTCACGCATTCACGCATTCATGCATTCATGCATTCACGCATTCACGCATTCATGCATTCACGCATTCACGCATTCATGCATTCATGCATTCACGCATTCACGCATTCATGCATTCATGCATTCACGCATTCACGCATTCATGCATTCATGCATTCACGCATTCATGCATTCATGCATTCACGCATTCATGCATTCATGCATTCACGCATTCATGCATTCATGCATTCACGCATTCATGCATTCATGCATTCACGCATTCATGCATTCATGCATTCATGCATTCATGCATTCACGCATTCATGCATTCACGCATTCACGCATTCATGCATTCATGCATTCACGCATTCATGCATTCATGCATTCACGCATTCACGCATTCACGCATTCACGCATTCATGCATTCATGCATTCACGCATTCATGCATTCATGCATTCATGCATTCATGCATTCATGCATTCATGCATTCACGCATTCATGCATTCATGCATTCACGCATTCACGCATTCATGCATTCACGCATTCATGCATTCATGCATTCATGCATTCATGCATTCATGCATTCATGCATTCATGCATTCATGCATTCATGCATTCATGCATTCATGCATTCATGCATTCATGCATTCATGCATTCATGCATTCATGCATTCATGCATTCACGCATTCACGCATTCACGCATTCATGCATTCACGCATTCACGCATTCACGCATTCACGCATTCACGCATTCATGCATTCATGCATTCATGCATTCACGCATTCATGCATTCATGCATTCATGCATTCACGCATTCATGCATTCATGCATTCATGCATTCATGCATTCATGCATTCATGCATTCACGCATTCATGCATTCATGCATTCACGCATTCATGCATTCATGCATTCACGCATTCATGCATTCATGCATTCACGCATTCATGCATTCATGCATTCATGCATTCATGCATTCACGCATTCATGCATTCACGCATTCATGCATTCATGCATTCATGCATTCATGCATTCACGCATTCATGCATTCATGCATTCACGCATTCATGCATTCACGCATTCATGCATTCATGCATTCACGCATTCATGCATTCATGCATTCATGCATTCATGCATTCATGCATTCATGCATTCATGCATTCACGCATTCATGCATTCATGCATTCACGCATTCATGCATTCATGCATTCACGCATTCATGCATTCATGCATTCATGCATTCATGCATTCATGCATTCATGCATTCATGCATTCATGCATTCATGCATTCATGCATTCACGCATTCATGCATTCATGCATTCACGCATTCATGCATTCATGCATTCACGCATTCATGCATTCATGCATTCATGCATTCATGCATTCATGCATTCATGCATTCATGCATTCATGCATTCATGCATTCATGCATTCATGCATTCATGCATTCATGCATTCATGCATTCATGCATTCATGCATTCATGCATTCATGCATTCATGCATTCATGCATTCATGCATTCATGCATTCATGCATTCATGCATTCATGCATTCATGCATTCATGCATTCACGCATTCATGCATTCATGCATTCACGCATTCATGCATTCATGCATTCACGCATTCATGCATTCATGCATTCATGCATTCATGCATTCACGCATTCATGCATTCACGCATTCATGCATTCATGCATTCATGCATTCATGCATTCACGCATTCATGCATTCATGCATTCACGCATTCATGCATTCACGCATTCATGCATTCATGCATTCACGCATTCATGCATTCATGCATTCATGCATTCATGCATTCATGCATTCATGCATTCATGCATTCACGCATTCATGCATTCATGCATTCACGCATTCATGCATTCATGCATTCACGCATTCATGCATTCATGCATTCATGCATTCATGCATTCATGCATTCATGCATTCATGCATTCATGCATTCATGCATTCATGCATTCACGCATTCATGCATTCATGCATTCACTGCATTCATGCATTCATGCATTCACGCATTCATGCATTCATGCATTCATGCATTCATGCATTCATGCATTCATGCATTCATGCATTCATGCATTCATGCATTCATGCATTCATGCATTCATGCATTCATGCATTCATGCATTCATGCATTCATGCATTCATGCATTCATGCATTCATGCATTCATGCATTCATGCATTCATGCATTCATGCATTCATGCATTCATGCATTCATGCATTCATGCATTCATGCATTCATGCATTCATGCATTCATGCATTCACGCATTCATGCATTCATGCATTCACGCATTCATGCATTCATGCATTCATGCATTCATGCATTCATGCATTCATGCATTCATGCATTCATGCATTCATGCATTCATGCATTCACGCATTCATGCATTCATGCATTCACGCATTCATGCATTCATGCATTCACGCATTCATGCATTCATGCATTCATGCATTCATGCATTCATGCATTCATGCATTCATGCATTCATGCATTCATGCATTCATGCATTCATGCATTCATGCATTCATGCATTCATGCATTCATGCATTCATGCATTCATGCATTCATGCATTCATGCATTCATGCATTCATGCATTCATGCATTCATGCATTCACGCATTCATGCATTCATGCATTCACGCATTCATGCATTCATGCATTCACGCATTCATGCATTCATGCATTCATGCATTCATGCATTCATGCATTCATGCATTCATGCATTCATGCATTCATGCATTCATGCATTCATGCATTCATGCATTCATGCATTCATGCATTCATGCATTCATGCATTCATGCATTCATGCATTCATGCATTCATGCATTCATGCATTCATGCACAGCATAGCACTTTCAAGGAGCGCCCTCATGTCGCTCGTCCCAGTTCATGTTTTGACACGGGACCAGTTAAAAAAACTTGGACCAGGAGCACTGAACTGGTCAATCCGCTCCGCCCCACCCCTCTCTCCGGCTCCTCCCGTGCATGCAGGGCATTCAGCCATTCAACCGCCCGCCAGCCGACCATCGCACATGGGCCACACTTGTGTGTCGTCGCGTGCACAACACATGGCCGCAGGTAGTTAGGGGTGGTCAAGAATGCGTGATGATGATCTTGCTGCATGCGGAATGTTGTATGTTGCTTGCTTGCCATTCATGGGCTACACTTGTGTGCCGTCGCGTGCACAACACATGCCCGCATGTAGATATGATGCATGCATGCATGCATGAGTCAAGGGCTACTGTTTTGCACCGTCACATGCACAACACATGGCCACAGGTAGGCATGAATGATCCATTATACATGCCATGTGTGTGTGGCCCATGAAATCATGTGCATTGCTCAAGATAAGGCTGCGAGTCAAGCATGATGAGATATGATGCACGCATACATGCATGCCATGTGTGATGCATGCATGCCTGTTGAGTTTGCACCACACGAACAACACGTTGCAGCAGATACAGCATGCATGCATGAAGCTTCTGTGTCTGCCTCTCCTTGCATTGCATCTAAATGAAAACCATTCCCACTCCCCACAAATGTGCACGTGTGCGCGCACGTGCGTGTGTGTGTGTGTGTTTGTGCGTGTGTGTGTTGCTGTTGCGTGCACGCATGTGTGTGTGCTTGTGTGTGTGTTGCCGTTGCGTGTGCTCATGTGTGTGTGCTTGTTTGTGTCTGTGAATGTATCCCCACTTGTCTCCCCAACCAGGTTGGACCTGGGATATGCCCTCTCTATTCCTGTCAGGGGTAAGTGCTTTTGTCTTTGGCTTTGTACGCACACTCTCCAACTCCTGCTCCTTGTGGTGCTTGTTTCTGCTCCTCCTGCTCCTTGTGCTCGTCTCATAAGGAACAGGGGGCATGCGCCCGCCTCGCATGTGCCCACACCTCTTCCTGTGTGCCCGCCTCTCCCCCTTATGGACCCTATCCCCACACCAGGGCTGAGGCGGAGCTCTACGCGTCCCTCCCTCCCCCTGACCGCGTGCGCATCTTGTTCCCCCCATGTGCCCTCCTCTCATTCCCCACTTACATCCCACACGCGGTAACCTCACACCAGGGCTGAGACAGAGCTCTACGACTCCCTCCCTCTCCCTGACCGCGTGCGCATCTTGATCCTCCCATGTGCCCACCTCCCCCCCTCACCTCTTCCCCCCACATGCCCTAACCCCACTCCAGGGCTGAGGCGGAGCACTACGCGTCCCTCTCTCCGCCTGACCGCACGTGCATCTTGATCCCCCCATGTGCCCGCTCCTCTTCCCCCGACCTCTTCCCCCGACCTCTTCCCCCGACCTCTTCCCCCGACCTCTTCCCCCGACCTCTTCCCCCGACCTCTTCCCCCGACCTCTTCCCCCGACCTCTTCCCCCGACCTCTTCCCCCGACCTCTTCCCCCGACCTCTTCCCCCGACCTCTTCCCCCGACCTCTTCCCCCGACCTCTTCCCCCGACCTCTTCCCCGACCTCTTCCCCCGACCTCTTCCCCCGACCTCTTCCCCCGACCTCTTCCCCCGACCTCTTCCCCGACCTCTTCCCCCGACCTCTTCCCCGACCTCTTCCCCCGACCTCTTCCCCCGACCTCTTCCCCCGACCTCTTCCCCCGACCTCTTCCCCCGACCTCTTCCCCCGACCTCTTCCCCCGACCTCTTCCCCCGACCTCTTCCCCCGACCTCTTCCCCCGACCTCTTCCCCCGACCTCTTCCCCCGACCTCTTCCCCCGACCTCTTCCCCCGACCTCTTCCCCCGACCTCTTCCCCCGACCTCTTCCCCCGACCTCTTCCCCCGACCTCTTCCCCCGACCTCTTCCCCCGACCTCTTCCCCCGACCTCTTCCCCCGACCTCTTCCCCCGACCTCTTCCCCCGACCTCTTCCCCCGACCTCTTCCCCCGACCTCTTCCCCCGACCTCTTCCCCCGACCTCTTCCCCCGACCTCTTCCCCCGACCTCTTCCCCCGACCTCTTCCCCCGACCTCTTCCCCCGACCTCTTCCCCCGACCTCTTCCCCCGACCTCTTCCCCCGACCTCTTCCCCCGACCTCTTCCCCCGACCTCTTCCCCCGACCTCTTCCCCCGACCTCTTCCCCCGACCTCTTCCCCCGACCTCTTCCCCCGACCTCTTCCCCCGACCTCTTCCCCCGACCTCTTCCCCCGACCTCTTCCCCCGACCTCTTCCCCCGACCTCTTCCCCCGACCTCTTCCCCCGACCTCTTCCCCCGACCTCTTCCCCCGACCTCTTCCCCCGACCTCTTCCCCCGACCTCTTCCCCCGACCTCTTCCCCCGACCTCTTCCCCCGACCTCTTCCCCCGACCTCTTCCCCCGACCTCTTCCCCCCGACCTCTTCCCCCGACCTCTTCCCCCGACCTCTTCCCCGACCTCTTCCCCCGACCTCTTCCCCGACCTCTTCCCCCGACCTCTTCCCCCGACCTCCCCCCCTTCCCCCGACCTCTTCCCCCGACCTCTTCCCCCGACCTCTTCCCCCGACCTCTTCCCCCGACCTCTTCCCCCGACCTCTTTCCCCCGACCTCTTCCCCCGACCTCTTCCCCCGACCTCTTCCCCCCGACACTCGTTCCCCCGACCTCTTCCCCCCACCTCTTCCCCCCACCTCTTCCCCCCACCTCTTCCCGCCACCTCTTCCCCCCACATGCCATAACCCCACTCCAGGGCTGAGTCGGAGCTCTACGCGTCCCTCCCTCCGCCTGACCGCGTGCGCATTTTGAAAGCTCTCTGCGAGATTCGGCTGGATGTGAGTAGACAGACAGACACTGTGCGTTGGGCGGAATAGGGAGCTGTGTGTTGAATAGAGCAGCTTACAGTAGAGAGGCATTCAGTAGGGAGGCAGGCGCTCTTCCAGTGGTGGTAGAGGCTGCTATGAAGAGGAACCTTGAAGGGAGGCGCTCTTCCCTCCCCCCCCCTGATTGCACGCGCATCTTGATTCCTGACAGGTGGCCTATCAACTCCTCTCTATTTCCCTCCCTCACTCCCTGCCTCCCTCCTGCTGCTACCCACACTCCCCCCCCCCCCCCTCACCACGCAGCAAGAGGACACTCGAGTGGTGGTAGCGGCTGCTATGAAGAGGAACCCCGATGAGATTGGTGGCTTATTAACTCCTCTCCACTCCTCTCTACCTCTCTACTTATCCCCGTCCCCACACTGCACAGCAAGAGGACACTCGAGTGGTGGTAGAGGCGGCCATGAAGAGGAATCCCGAGGAGATTTCTGCCCTATCCCCTGGCTCCCTCTCTGACCCCGCTGTACCCATCCCCACCGCGCAGCAAGAGGACACACGAGTGGTGGTAGAGGCGGACATGAAGAGGAATCCCGAGGAGATCCGCATGGATGGTGCCTGCATCCCCCTGTCCTCTCGCCCCTAACTTCCCCCCTCCTGCGGCTACCCTCCTCCCACCCCCCCCGCCCGCCAAGCAGCAAGAGGACACGCGTGTGGTGGTAGAGGCGGCCATGAAGAGGAATCCCGAGGAGATTCGCATGGAGCCGTTTGGGGTAGACACCAACAACCATGTGTTCTGGTGAGTGCAGTGCGGTGCAGTGTGATGCTGTGTGGTGCAGTGCTGTATGGAAGAAGTGATGTGCTTTAAAGGCGCCTCAGGACTCCAATTGACCTTCAGGCTTTGCAAAGACACAGTGCTGGGCCGTCGGCTGTTAAAAAAGGGTCCTCCTGTTGTTGCTACTGCTGGCCCTTCTTGTGTTGTGACGTGCCCACTTTTAATATTTCTCCCCTCCCCATTCACATACTCCCGGCTTTCAGGTTCCTGCCACGACTCAGTGCTGGGCTATCGGCTATTCAAAGAGCCTCCGCCTGTTTCTCATGCCCATTGCTCAAAGAGGCAAAGAGGCTCAGCATCGGATGTTGCATCTTAACATCTCACCTCTGCTCTCATGCTCTCACATTCATCTTGGCCCCTCTCACCATCCCCACTCACGAATTGTCTACCTTCAGGTTCTGCAACGATGCTGTGCTAGGCCATCGGCTGTTCAAAGAGGGCCCACCTGTTTATGTCACACAAGAGGAGGCAGACGCTGCTGCCGCTGCTGCTGCTGCCGCCGCTGAAGCTGCTGCTGCTGCCGCCGCCGCTGCTGCTGCTGCCGCCGCCGCTGCTGCTGCTGAAGCTGAAGCGGCTGAAGCTGCTGCTGCTGCTGTTGCTGCTAACACGGCTCTTCCTGCTGCTGCTGATTCTTCTGCTGCTGTTTCTCTTGCTGAAGCCACAGCTGTGTTGGTGGAAGGAGCAAAGGCGGAGGCTGCAACAGATGCTGCCAAAAGTGTTGCCACAGCTAAATGTGAAGGTGCTGAGGCTGAAGCTGTCACTGAAGTTATTCAACCACCTGTCACAACCTCTGATGATCACACAGACGCTGCTGTTGCTGCAGAGGCGGTGGCTTTTGAGGCGCCTCAAAAGGCTGAAGCTGTCACTGAAGTTATTCAACCACCTGTCACAACCTCTGATGATCACACAGACGCTGCTGTTGCTGCAGAGGCGGTGGCAGCGATGGTGGAAGGAGCAAATGCGGCGGCTGGAAGAGTTGAAACAGAAGCTGCTGAGCCTACTCAACTGACCACAACCTCTAATGATCACACAGACGCCATTGTTGCTGCAGAGGCGGTGGCAGCGATGGTGGAAGGAGCAAAGGCGGTGGCTGGGAAAGTTGAAACAGACGCTGCAGTTCTCATGTCTCGTGCGTCGAGAGGTGAAGAAGTGGCAAGGGCAGCAGAGGCAGGAGAGGTGGCAGAGGTAGCAGAGGTAGCAGGGGCAGAAAAGGCAGCAGATGGAGAAAATGCAGCAGGTGCAGAAAAGGCAGCAGGGGCAGAAAAGGCTGCAGATGCAGAAAAGGCTGCAGATGCAGAAAAGGCTGCAGATGCAGAAACGGCTGCAGATGCAGAAAAGGCTGCAGGGGCAGCGAGAGCAGATGTTGCAAGAGTGTCAGCTGGTGCTGAAGCTGATGTGCCTGCCACTCAGCCTGCTACTAGCACTGATGTTACCAGAGCTGCTGCTACTGCTGCTGCTGCTGCTTCTGATGGTGCAGTGGCTGCTGATGGTGCTGGTGCTGCTGCTGCTGCTGCTAGTGCTACGGCTGCTGATGGTGGGGCCGCTGCTGATGGTGATGATGAATCAGCGGCCAAGGAGGCCCCATCTGGCAAAGCCGGAGCATCTGAGCCGTCCGTTAGCCCAACGCCAGCATCTGATCCCCTACAGTCTGAGCCACCATTCAATCCCACTAGTGAAGCCTCTAAGGCTGACAGTGTTACAGCGATCAGTGTGGTAACCAGATTGGATGATGTGAAGGCGCGTGCAACTGGGGTTGACTTGATACTAAAGTCGCCACTCGGGAGTCCCAATAGTATGGAGTTTTCACAAGGTAAAATTAAGGAGTTATTACGAGGAAATGGTAAAGAGTTGCAAGGTGATATGGATTCAGTGAGTGGGCTAGCTGCTATCGGTGGATTGAAGGCTTTAGTCGGGGTGAAGGCTGAGGAGGAGGGGGGAGTGAAGCGGAGAGGAGGAGAGGAGAGTAGGGTGGGAGCAAAGGAGGGAGGGGTGAAAGAGGAGGAGGATGGGGAGGGAATGGGGAGAGGAGAAGAGGATAAGGTGCTTGTGAGGAGAGGGGCTGGAGCGAAGGAGAATGAGAGGGTTTACAGGAGGCGAGGTGGCAGGGAGGCGGGTAGGAAGGATTGTGAGCGTGGGAAAGGGGGCAAGGGGGAGGTGAAAGGGGAAGAAGAGAGCAATAGAGGTGGCGTTGGTGTGGTGAGTGAAGAGCATGGAAGATACGAGGGAGAAGAAGAGGAGGAGGTGAAGGAGGTGAAGGAGGGAGAGGAGGAGAAGAAGGAGGAGGAAGAGGAGGAGAAGAAGGAGGAGGAAGAGGAGAAGGATGCTGCTGTGATTGACTTAACTGACTCAGATCCCTGCATCCCTGCTCAAGGCAGCTCAGCTGAACCTGCTCAAGACCCCTCAGTCACCGCCGCTGCTGGAAAGGACTCGGTTGTTGCTGGTAAGGCAGACTCTGCTGCCAAGGCAGATTCGAGCGCCCATCCTACTCGGCATGGCATGAGCACGCGAACCAGGTCAGGCAGTCTCCGCCCTCCTTCCGCCTCCAAACCTGCTCCCAAGCCTGCTGCCAAACCTGCTCCCAAGCCTGCTGCCAAACCTGCTGCCAAGCCTGCTCCCAAGGGCACTCCCACCAAGGGTGGCAGCAAGAAGGGGAGAGGAGCCGATGCTGCTTCTGCTGCTGGAGGGGAGGGGAGGAGGAAGGCAAAGAAGACGGCCAAGCCAGTTTTCCTGCCACCTGTGTGTGGCGAGTTCGTCACTGCTGCTGTGTGTCTCACAGACTTTACTGCTCTCGCGGTGAGTCACTTCACTCTGAGGAGATCCCTTTTCAAGGACCTCAATATTGGCCCGGCTGGTGTTCCTGCCACCTGTGTGTGGCGAGTTCGCCACTGCTGCTGTGTGTCTCACAGACTTTACTGCTCTCGCGGTGAGTCACTTCACTCTGAGGAGATCCCTTTTCAAGGACCTCAATATTGGCCCGGCTGGTGTTCCTGCCACCTGTGTGTGGCGAGTTCGCCACTGCTGCTGTGTGTCTCACAGACTTTACTGCTCTCGCGGTGAGTCACTTCACTCTGAGGAGATCCCTTTTCAAGGACCTCAATATTGGCCCGGCTGGTGTTCCTGCCACCTGTGTGTGGCGAGTTCGCCACTGCTGCTGTGTGTCTCACAGACTTTACTGCTCTCGCGGTGAGTCACTTCACTCTGAGGAGATCCCTTTTCAAGGACCTCAATATTGGCCCGGCTGGTGTTCCTGCCACCTGTGTGTGGCGAGTTCGCCACTGCTGCTGTGTGTCTCACAGACTTCACTGCTCTCGCGGTGAGTTAGTTGGTACTTGGTTGGAGCTTTGAGTGTGCTTTTCGTTAACTGTATTGAGTTTTATTTTATGCATCTCAAAAGTTTACTCCAGACTTGAAGCCAATTTCACTGGATGATATGACTGCTTATTGGACTTAGAACATCAGTTTATACCTGTTTCTAATACAAAATCGGATCAGCTTATATGAGTTTCTTCCCTCCCGCTGCCTTCCTTGGCGTGCCTGTATCTGCAGGACGACCTCAGCGCCAGTGTGCATAACGCGGATCAGCTTATAGCGGATCGCTTGGCAGAGGAGGTCATTCCTAAAGTGGAGCTAGAAGAGAAGGTGAGGAGGGACGGGATTGTTCTTTCACCCGCGCACTCTCACTCTCACTTTCGCTCTCACTCATTTTCAATCACATGCTAATGTTATTTCAACACTCACCTCCCTCTTCCCTCTCCCTTCTCCTTTCATGCCTCCTCACACCAGCGCAAGGAGCGGCATGCAAAGAGGCAGCAGTGGCAGGCAGCACAGCAGGCAGTAGCCATGGCACAGGTGTATCCAAATCCTTGCTTTCTGCTACATACTCGTCTCGTCTCTCTCTTTCACCCGTCTCTCCTTCCCCCATCAGCACAAGGAGCGGCATGCGAAGAGGCAGCAGAGGCAAGAGGCGCAGCTGGCAGCGCAGCTAGCAGCTAAGTTTGTACCCGAAACCCTCTCTCTTCACTTCCGTTCACCCCTCTTCTGTACCCCCACCAGCGCAAGGAGCGACATGCAAAGAGGCAGCAGAGGCAGGCGGCGCAGCTGGCAGCTACTGTTGAACCCAACTTCTGCTATCTCCCATGTTCTTCTCGTTTCTTTCTCCTCTTATTTCTCCTATCAACAGCGCAAGGAGCGGCATGCGAAGAGGCAGCAGAGGCAGGCGGCACAGCTGGCAGCGCAGCTAGCAGCAGCGATGGCAGCAGCAGGGCAGTACGCTGGGGGGTACGGAGAGGGGCTGGCTCTGGGTCGATCCAGACGGGAGAGAAAGCCAGTGACCTACACCTTCGGTGCGCGCATCTTGCATTGCTGTGTTGGGTTTGGGGAGGGGACTTTTGAGTCGACTCAAAACGAGGTGACTTTTGAGTCGACTTTTGAGTTTTGAGTCGACTCAAAAGTCACCTCATGAGTCGACTCAAAAGTCACCTCATGAGTCGAGTCAAAAGTCACCTCATGAGTCGAGTCAAAAGTCACCTCATGAGTCGACTCAAAAGTGCATCTTGCATTGCTGTGGGGGGTTTGGGGAGGGGATGGCTGTGGGGTGCTGTCCTGAGCGCCAGAGGGGTACAGCGAGGGGATGGCTCTGGGGCGAGAGAGAAAGCCAGTCACCTACACCTTCGGTGCGTGCATGCTTGTTGATCTTCTTTGGCTGTGCGGGGTATGAGGAAAGGCTGGCTGTTGGGTAGGTGGTGTGTTCCTGGGGGGTACGGCGAAGGGCTGGCTCTGGGTCGATCGAGACGAGAGAGAAAGCCAGTCACCTACACCTTGGGTGCGTGCATTGGTGTCTGGGTTGGTGTGAGTTATGGGGTGGTGTCCTGTCTGTGTGCCAGGGGGGTCCTGGGAGGGCCTGGCTCTGGTTCGATCCAGGCGGGAGAGAAAGCCAGTCACCTACACCTTCGGTGGGTCCGTCCATCTCTGTAGACGTGATGTTCTATTGATGTGCGGGATATGGGGAGGGGCTGGGTGTTGGGTAGGCTGGGCTGGGATCCTTTCACCTACACCTTGGGTGGGTCCCTCCATCCCCGTCCATCCCTGTCAGTGACGGTGCCACCCATCATTGTCACACCACCTGCCAAATCTCATCAGTTGATTCAAGTTACGAGGCGCCTCAAAGGTCACACCCCACTTGCCAAATCTTATCCATTGATTCAAGTATCTCGTGTCTGTGTCTAGTCTAGTCAATGTCACTTCACCACCCACCTTCCTCTTGCCCCCTCCCCATCCCCTTCCCTTTCCTCTTCCCCTTCGCTCCTGGTCTTCTCCCTTCCCCCCGTCCCTTCTGTCCCTTCAGACGATTTCGATCGTTCTATCAACGATGCCATCACGCTACCTTCCAAATCCCGTGAGCTTCCCCCCGAGCACGCCCCCACTCGCGAGGGCCTCCGACAGCTGGCAGGGCGGCGTGTTTTGTCTGCTAGCGGCGATGCGGTTGGTAGTGGTGTTGGGGGGGATGGAGGAGGGGAAGGGGGTGTGGGAGGAGGGAGGGGAGGAGAGGAGGAGGAGGGAGAGAGAGAAAGGGGAGGAAGCAAAGGAGGAGGAGAAGAAGGGGAAAAGGCAGGAGGAAGAGAAGGGAAAGAAGAAGAGGGAGGAGAAAGAGGAGAAGAGGAGGATGGTTTGAGAGTAGGCTCTTCTGGGGAAGGTTTATATGGGGAAGGAGAGATGGAAGAGAAGGGGGGTGAGAGCGATGGTAAGGAGCGTGATAGTAATGATGGTGATAGTAGTGATGGTGATTGGAACGAGAGTGGTGATAATACAGGGGATGGGAGTGATGGTAATGAGAATGGGGGGGCACGGAAAGTGAGGAGGAAGGAAGGAGGAGAGGAGGGAAGGGGGCAGGGAGAAGGAGGGGGGGAGGAAGAGGAGTATGATGAGGTGGAGAATGGGCGGGAGATTGGAGGAGAAGTGGAAGAAGAGGAGGAAGAGGGCAGGAGGAGCAGGTTGAGAGGGGAGAGAAGAGAGGGTGGTTCAGGGAACAAAGAGGGGTCGGAAGAGAGGGAAAGAAAAGAGGGTAGAGCGGGGAAGAGGGGAAGAGAAGGGGTGGAGAAGAAGGATGGAAATGAGCAGGGGCTGAGGAAAAGACGATTGAGGGAGGGGCGGGAAGAGGAGGATGGGGCAATGGATGAGTGTTTGAAGGGATCAGGAGGGGAGGGAAGGAAGCGGCGAAAAGGAGGCTATGTGGGTGATTATAACGAGGATGGAGTGTTGGGGAAAGATGAGGGCGAAGGGGGGGGGCAAGAGGAAGGGGAAAGGGAAGAAGTGGAAAGTGAGGAACAGAAGGTGAAGAGAGAGGAAGAGAGGGAAGAGAGGACGGCGGATGAGGCAGAGGAGGGTGATGAGGACGAAGGGGAAAGGAAGGAAGAGTATGGGCTTGAGAAGAAGAAGCAGGAAGAGGATGGTGGTGATGATGAAGAAGCTTATAACGAGGATGGTCAAAGAGAGCCGAGGAAGGGAGAAGCGACGGGAGGAGGGAAGGGAGTGAGAGTGGGGACGAGCGTGAGGAAGAAAATGGAGGAGGGAGTGGATGGGGGAGTGGATGGGGGTGGGGGAAGAAGAAGGAAGGAGAAGAGAAGAAAGCCTGAAGCTGCATTGAGGAGGCCAGCCGATGTGACTGGATTAGAGGCAGAGGAAGGGGAGGGAAGGAGAAGGCTCAGGAGAAAAGGCGGTGGCTTGGTGGCTTTTGAGTCGACTCAAAAGCCATCTGATGTGACTGGCTTAGAGGCAGAGGAACGGGATGGAAGGAGGAGGCTCAGGAGAAAAGGCGGTGGCGTGGTGGGAGGGGAATTGGGGGGGAATGAGGGGATGCAGGAAGGGGGTGGTGGAGTGAGGGCAAGGACTAGATGGGGAGGAAAGCGGCCTGATGGTGTGTCGTTTAAAGAGGAGGAGAGTGGGGAGGAGGGGATTGGGAAGGAGGGGAGGGGTGTGGAGGAAGGAGGGAGGAGTGGGGAAGAGGAGTGGAGTGCAGAGGAGGCAGAGGCGAAGGAGGAGGAAGGGGAGGAGGAGGGGAGCAGGAAGGGGTTGAGAGAGGTTAAGAGGGATACCTGTGGAAGTTCGCAAAGGAAGGAGGGGAGGGAGGGAAGGGAGGGTAGGGAGGGGAGAGAGGGGAGGGAGGGGAGGGAAGGGAGGGAGGGGAGGGAGAAGAAGCAGAAGAAGGAGAAGAAAGAGGGGAAGGAGGGGAAGCCTGAAGGCGTGCATGCAGCAAACGGGCGAGGAGGAACGCTGCGGGACAAGGCTGACAGAGTGAAGCCTGTCTTGGCCTCGGATATCCAGCCCTTGCGGTTGCTCAGGTGGGTGGGCTTTAAGTCGACTCAAAAGTCACCTCGCGAGGAGGAGCGCTGCGGGACAAGGCTGACAGAGTGAAGCCATTTTTGGAGCCTCAACAAGGGGCCTCGGACATCCAGCCGTTGAGGCTGCTCAGGTGGGTGGCCTTTCCCTTCACGTGCTGCTCCGCAGGTTGGGGGAGTGCATGCAGCAAACGAAGTGACTTTTGAGGCGACTCAAAAGTCACCTCGCAGGTTGGGGGAGTGCATGCAGCAAACGGGCGAGGAGGAGCGGAGCGTGACAAGGCTGACAGAGTGAAGGCTGTGGTGGCCTCGACTATCCAGCCCTTGCGGTTGCTCAGGTGGGTGGCGTCTCCCTTCGCATGCTGCTCCGCGGTTTGGGATAGGGATGAGCAAAGGGCTAACACGAACACTCATCCCTAGTTTGGGAGAGGGCTTGCAGCAAACTTCAAACGTAACGCCCTTCCACATCCTTCGCACGAAGGTTGAAGTGCGAGCCTTCGTGCGAGCGAAGGATGTGCTTGCAGCAAACTTCAAACGTAACGCCCTTCCACATCCTTCGCACGAAGGTTGAAGTGCGAGCCTTCGTGCGAGCGAAGGATGTGCTTGCAGCAAACTTCAAACGTAACGCCCTTCCACATCCTTCACACGAAGGTTGAAGTGCGAGCCTTCGTGCGAGCGAAGGATGTGCTTGCAGCAAACTTCAAACGTAACGCCCTTCCACATCCTTCGCACGAAGGTTGAAGTGCGAGCCTTCGTGCGAGCGAAGGATGTGCTTGCAGCAAACTTCAAACGTAACGCCCTTCCACATCCTTCGCACGAAGGTTGAAGTGCGAGCCTTCGTGCGAGCGAAGGATGTGCTTGCAGCAAACTTCAAACGTAACGCCCTTCCACATCCTTCGCACGAAGGTTGAAGTGCGAGCCTTCGTGCGAGCGAAGGATGTGCTTGCAGCAAACTTCAAACGTAACGCCCTTCCACATCCTTCGCACGAAGTTTGAAGTGCGATCCTTCGTGCGAGCGAAGGATGTGCTTGCAGCAAACTTCAAGCGTAACGCCCTTCCACATCCTTCGCACGAAGGTTGAAGTGCGAGCCTTCGTGCGAGCGAAGGATGTGCTTGCAGCAAACTTCAAACGTAACTCCCTTCCACATCCTTCGCACGAAGGTTGAAGTGCGAGCCTTCGTGCGAGCGAAGGATGTGCTTGCAGCAAACTTCAAACGTAACGCCCTTCCACATCCTTTGCACGAAGGTTGAAGTGCGAGCCTTCGTGCGAGCGAAGGATGTGCTTGCAGCAAACTTCAAACGTAACGCCCTTCCACATCCTTCGCACGAAGGTTGAAGTGCGAGCCTTCGTGCGAGCGAAGGATGTGCTTGCAGCAAACTTCAAACGTAACGCCCTTCCACATCCTTCGCACGAAGGTTGAAGTGCGAGCCTTCGTGCGAGCGAAGGATGTGCTTGCAGCAAACTTCAAACGTAACGCCCTTCCACATCCTTCGCACGAAGGTTGAAGTGCGAGCCTTCGTGCGAGCGAAGGATGTGCTTGCAGCAAACTTCAAACGTAACGCCCTTCCACATCCTTCGCACGAAGGTTGAAGTGCGAGCCTTCGTGCGAGCGAAGGATGTGCTTGCAGCAAACTTCAAACGTAACGCCCTTCCACATCCTTCGCACGAAGGTTGAAGTGCGAGCCTTCGTGCGAGCGAAGGATGTGCTTGCAGCAAACTTCAAACGTAACGCCCTTCCACATCCTTCGCACGAAGGTTGAAGTGCGAGCCTTCGTGCGAGCGAAGGATGTGCTTGCAGCAAACTTCAAACGTAACGCCCTTCCACATCCTTCGCACGAAGGTTGAAGTGCGATCCTTCGTGCGAGCGAAGGATGTGCTTGCAGCAAACTTCAAACGTAACTCCCTTCCACATCCTTCGCACGAAGGTTGAAGTGCGAGCCTTCGTGCGAGCGAAGGATGTGCTTGCAGCAAACTTCAAACGTAACGCCCTTCCACATCCTTCGCACGAAGGTTGAAGTGCGAGCCTTCGTGCGAGCGAAGGATGTGCTTGCAGCAAACTTCAAACGTAACGCCCTTCCACATCCTTCGCACGAAGGTTGAAGTGCGAGCCTTCGTGCGAGCGAAGGATGTGCTTGCAGCAAACTTCAAACGTAACGCCCTTCCACATCCTTCGCACGAAGTTTGAAGTGCGAGCCTTCGTGCGAGCGAAGGATGTGGAAGAGCAAACTTCAAACATAACGCCCTTCCACATCCTTCGCACGAAGGCTCGCAAGAGGCAACTTCAATTCAACCCCTTCAGCTCCCTCTCCTTCCCATTGCTGCCTACCAGGCCCCGGCCCAAGAAAAGGAAGAAAAGGCGGAGCTTTGCGGATATCTTGGAGGGGGAAGAGGAGGAGGAGAGGCGGGAGGAGGGGGCTGCCCTTTCAACACCCTTTCAACACCCTTTCAACACCCTTTCAACACCCTTTCAACACCCTTTCAACACCCTTTCAACACCCTTTCAACACCCTTTCAACACCCTTTCAACACCCTTTCAACACCCTTTCAACACCCTTTCAACACCCTTTCAACACCCTTTCAACACCCTTTCAACACCCTTTCAACACCCTTTCAACACCCTTTCAACACCCTTTCAACGCCCTTCTACGTCCGTTCATCCCGTTCCACTCCATCTCATTGCTGCTTATCAGGCACCGGCCGAAGAAAAAGCGGAGCCTTGAGGCGCCTCAAAAGTCTACTCCGTTTCAACCCCTTCATCTCCCTCTCCTTCCCATTGTTGCTCATCAGGCACCGGCCGAAGAAAAAGCGGAGCTATGTTGATATCTTGGAGGAGGAAGTGGAGGATGAGAGGCAGGAGGAAGGGGTTGGGGAAGGAGGTATGGAGGAAGGGAACGGGCAGGGGAATGGAGAGCCTGGGCAGGTGAAAGCAGAGGGAGGGCAGGTGAAAGAAGTGTCAGGGCAGGAATTAGCAAACGCTGACAAGAGGGGTGAGCAAATCGGTTCTAGAGCAAAGAGGAGAGGAGACACAGGGAAATCAAAGGGTGCGATTATCAAGGCTAATGGTGTTGAGAGTAGGGAAACCAGTGCTGGCGATGGCCTAAGTGATGGTGGTGGTGCAGGTGCCAGCAGTGGGGATGGTGGTGGTAGTGCTACTGCTGCTCATGGTGCTAGCGCTGATGGTGCTGCTGCTAATGGTGCTCCTGAATCTAATGCTTGTCCTGGTGATGCTAATAACGAGGACAGCATTGGGGATGTGGAGGGAGAGGTGGTGTATTATGAGGAAGAGGAGGAGAGTGTAGTGAGAGAGAGGAGAGAAAGAGGGGTGGCTGGGAGGGTACCAGACGGGAAGGGAAGAGGGCGCGAGAGGGTAAGGGCGAAGGAGAAGAGAGGGAAGGATGAAAAGGGCAGAAAATCGGACACAAGGCATGTTAAGAGTGGTGTTGTTTCTTCTGGTATAGAGATACCAGGGGTGAAGGAGCATTCAGAGAGGCTAGTAGGAGGAGAGGAAAGAGAAGGGGGGACTGAAAAGAGAGAGGAGGAAAACGGGGTGGAGGACGAGGAGGAGGATGAAGAGGAGGAAGAGGAGGAAGAGGAGGAAGAGGAGGACGAAGAGGAGTATGTGGTGGGATCTCAAGGCAGGAGAAGCAAGAGCAAGAAGGCGTCGCAAGTTGCATGGAGCAGAGGGACACAGAGGAGCGTGCGGAAAGGAGGGGAGGCAGGGAAGCGCAAGGGCGAAAGAAAGAGTGGGGGAGAAGGGAGGAGGAAGGCAGAAGGAGGAAGGAAGACGGAAGGGAGAAGAAGGGTCGGAGTGGGTAGGCAAGAGCAGGGGGGTGAGAATGGGAGGTGGGAGGGAGGAGAAGCGGCACGCTCAGTTGTTTCCTCCCCTCCTTCAGGTTCTGCTTCTGGTTCGAGAAGAAAAAGAGGTGGGGTTGGTGATATTACTGCTGCTGCTGCTGCTGCTGCTGTTTCTGCTTCAGCCGCAGCTGCTGCTGTTCCTGCTGCTGCTTCACCCGTTCATGATAGTGCCGGTTTTGCTCCTCCTGCTGCTCCTGCTGCTGCTTCAGCATCTGCTGCTGATGCATCAGCAGATGAAGGGACGCCGACCGGAGTGAGGCGGAGCGGCAGGAAGAGGAGGGAGAGGAATTATAGAGACCTGGTGAATGCGAATGATGGGGAGGACTGGAGCTTGTCCAGTGAGGAGGAGGGGAGGGGACGAGGGGGAAGAGGAGCAAGAGGGGAACGAGGGGAAGGAGGAAAGAGAAGACAGATAGGAGGAGGAGGAAGTGGAGGGGAGAGGCGGAGGAGAGGAGGAGGGGGAGGGGTAGGAGGAGGAGGTGGGGGTGGGGAGGGAGGAGAAGGGGGAGAGGAGCTTGGGACTAGGAGAAGATTGGTGGTGACTGGGCAGGGTGTGCAAGTGGGGGAGGGAGTAAGAGAGGTTGAGGTGGGTGGAGAAGGTTTGAGTGTGGTTGAGGGCGGTAGAGATGGAGTGAGTAGGGCTGAGGGTGGTAAAGAGGGGGCTGAGGCTGGAGAGAGGGGAGAGAGGAGGGAAATGGGGAGAGGGGAGGATCTAGGCAGTCCCACAGACAACAGTGGGAGTCCCAAGTGGGCGGGCGTGAGGAGGAGAAGGACTCAGCATGCAGACACTCATGCTGACAGTCAGAAGCACGTTTTGGACCCGTCACAAAATTGATGGCTTGATAGAGCTGGGAGGGGGAGGAACAAGGGAGTGCAACAGTGGGAGTCCCAAGTGGAGGGGCGTGAGGAGGAGGACCCATCATGCAGACACTCGTGCTGACATTCAGAAGGTTGATGGCTAGATAAAGCTGGGAGGGGAGGAGCTAGGCAGTCCCTCAGGCAACAGTGGCCAAGCGTGAGGAGGAGGAGGACTCAGCATGGAGAGACTCATGCTTGTGGCGGGCATGGCGGGCCCTTCACAAGGTTGATGGCTTCTTTTATTACAGCTGTGAGGGAAGGAGCAAGGGAATCCCACAGGTAACAGTGGTAGCACTAAGTGGCGGGGCGTGAGGAGGAGGACTCAGTGTGCAGACACTCATGCTGACAGTCAGACGCACGTTCCTGGCCCTTCATAAGTTTGATGATAAAGCTGGAGGCACAAGAGTGGCGGCATGTGCGACTCGAAACCTTGAAGGCGGAGAATTTGATTTCATAAACTGGGGGTGATTATGAGTTAGACTTGAAATCAAGTTAGTTAGAACCATGGAGCTGCATGCACGGTGCACCCACCGGGGTCCATGCTACCGTAATACTCAGAAGCCAAAGCTTTTGGTGATTTGTCAGCGGGTTTAGGGTTTGTATAGTGCGCCTCACAGGCTTGGGGCAACTTCTCAAGTTCATAAGGATTTTGAACCCCTCCTTTCAATTTTATACCGGAGCTTTAAATATTCGCGCGATCGTTGAACATTCATATCCATCCGACGACTACTTAGCACGATCGAGCAAACCCGGCACGATCTAACCGTTTTAGGAATCGAAAATCAATCATCTGGGAATCACGGTTCGAAATGGAGCTTCTGAGGGACAGTGACGAGTGGGCTGACGTGGAGCCGTTACCACAGGACGACGGTCCGGATCCTGTCGTGCCGATCGCGTATTCGCGCGAGTTCGACGACGCCATGGGCTTCATGCGCGCCGTTCTCGCGTCCGGTGAGCGCAGCGCGCGCGTCTTGCGCTTGACGGAGCGCGTTATCTCCGTCAACGCCGCTAGCTACACCGCGTGGCAGCTCCGTCGAGACGTTCTCACGCATCTGCTGTCGTTAGCGGAACCGGAGGCCACGCCATCGAAGCCTCCGTCCGCGTCAGCAGATGAGAATCGAACGGATGAAGGGGATTGGCTGGTTCAGGATGAGGTACTTTACGCCGAAAATGTGACTTTATCAAATCCTAAGAATTATCAGGTGTGGCACCATCGCCGCTGGTTGGCTGCTCTTCGCAAAGATAGGGTTACCAGACGCCAGGAACAGATGGAACAGCAGCAGCAGCAGCAGCAGCAGCAGCAGCAGCAGCAGCAGGAGCAGGAATGCGTTTCAAACTCACCGTCCCCGTTACAGCAAGCTCCGTTACGGTCGATAACTGAGGTCGCACAGGAGGAATTCCGCTTCTGTGAGGAGGCGTTGCGGGGAGATTCAAAGAACTACCACGCGTGGTGTCACAGGCAGTGGGTGGCGAGGGAATTTGACACGTGGCATGGTGAGCTGGCGTTCTGTGAGAGGCTGTTGGATGATGATGTGCGCAACAACTCAGCATGGAACCACAGAATGTTTGTACTGGAGCATCTTATAGCGAAGCAGAAGCAGGGAGCAGAACAGGTGGGAGGAGGAGCCAATCAGGAGAAGGGTTCCGAAATTAGGGTTACACCAGTAACAGTGGAGGATGAGGTGGCGTTTGCAGTGACCGCCATCTGGCTTGCTCCGTCCAATGAGAGCCCTTGGCGGTATCTCCAAGGGCTGATTCGCCTGCAGGAGAAAGAAACAGCAGGTGTGGGTAAGGAAGGTGATTTGAAGCTACTTGGAATCTGCTTGGATGTGCTGGCAAGTGAACCGGAGTGTGTGCATGCGTTAGGGACTCTGCTTTCGGTGCTTGGTTGGGGTTGCATGTCTGATAAAGTGGGTTTGCTTTTAGGGTTGAGCCAGGATGATGCAGGTGGTGGCGTGTCTATTTCATGCGTGGATGCAGCTGTAGCAGTGTGTGAGAAGCTGCAAAAGGTGGATAAGATAAGGTGGCGGTATTGGGAGATGAGAAAGAAGCAGGTTGCTGGTGCCCGCGGGCAGTCCAATTGATTTGTAAGAAGTTTTGCATTATATTTGAAGTCGATTGTGCAATTAGAGATTATAAGAAGTATAGAAGGTAATGCATTCTAAAACATTATCACCTCCCACCCTTCCCTTAGCTTCATTTGCAAGTTATAGGAACAATATAGCCCTGGCGCTTATGATTGCCCCAAAGTGCATGCTTCGTTATTGGCTCAGAATTTTCATCTGTAGACAACAAGCTTTGTCTGACCTCGGGTTTTTGTGAAACCCAGGGGGACGAAATGTGACAGAATGTCAGGCACGCGATGCGGGGTGGTGGTGGCAGGCGGAGTCACAGATGTGACAGGCGGAACGAATCAGGCGGGATTGATGTAACAGCAAATCGCTCGCTGTAATTCACAAGCAAGTAAGTTTTTCGTGAGCCGTGCATTCTTGTTCGTCAACAGACCACCTCTCGTCACTACTTTCGCCCAATTCCATTTCCCTGAACAAGATCGACAGAATTTGAAACAGGCGACGCGGGGCATACACGGTGGAACACTGAGTGGAATGATCGGGTTTGCGAGGAAATGACGGACCACCGTGTTTGCGCGTTCTCGATTCCTTTCGGCAGTGGCTTTGACAGCGACTCTCTCCGTGCTAGTGCCCAATTCCCACGGGCAGTTTATATTGCTATCTCCCATTTTTTGTGAGCAAACGCATAGTAGGGCAAATACTAAGTCTACCTGGTTTCAGTATAGAGGCCAGTGGCAAAACTAAAACCCACTCGGATGACAAGCCATTTGGGAGGCATCAACCCTAAACACCTTGCCTCATGGTGTTTCGGGTTGATGCCCTCTACGTGGCATACCATCCATGAAGGTTTTTTTGTGTCCCGAGCTGCGCAATTGCTATGGACTCGACGAATAAATTTGGAATATCTCGTAACTTAAAACAAATCTGTATATGTGGGCTCAAAAGGGGAAACGGAGAAATAATATGCCCCAAGGTATTGGACGCGAGCGTGAAGCAATGCGCTGTCAAAACCACTGCCTATAGGAATTGGAAACTAGAAAACACGGCGCTCCGTCATTTCCTCCGGGTTTGCACTGCGCGCTTCGAATGCCTGTTCTTTTACTCGTGGAAACACGCCGGTCGCATTGAATACCTCTTATTTCTCCCGTGATCACACGTCGCTGTTCTCTTTCACGAGCGGGCTTATGAATGCAATCGAACCCGTTAGTTTTTTTTTTTTTTTTTTTTTTTTTTTCCGAAAATACACTAAAAAGGTGCATGCATCCACAGTCGTAACTGAGAATCTGGCGAAAAGGTTCATAGCCATTATGATTAACGTGGCATCAGCGAAACATGCACCGATTTGGCGATACCCGATTCTGCATAGATGTTTTACCGTCCTTTTGATTCTCTCGGCGCTGAATCTATGGCAAATTGCGGTGGCGGCGCAACGTGGCATAAGATTGTGGGGCGATACGGGTCGAGTCCAGAGTCATCAACGTCAAGTGGGAAATGTGCGGGGCGGCGAAATCAGCCTCGAGCGGGCGCTCGCTCTATATCGGGTACAGCGGGACACGAGCTCTTACACTGTATCGGGACTGTGGGTCACTGGGAATGTCTTCATAAGTTCTTTCGCCGACACTCCGATCCCCTCGATCCGGGTAGTACCCTCTCCGCTTGTTGCCCTCCCCGCGCCTTACACCCCCCCCTCTCTTTTCCTCCCAGGCCTGGCAGCGGGCGCCGTCATTCGCCCACCGCGCCTATCTTATACTACTCGGTCGCCCCTCCCTGCCCCACCCCTCCCCTCCTCTTCCCCTCATCCCCCTCCCCCCTCCCTCCCGGTGTCCTTCCTCCAGGCGTGGACGGACATATACGGTCTGAGAGCGCGCTCCGTCCTCATCGATCATCCCCGCCCCTTACCTCGTCCTTACCCCGCCCCCTTTCCTCCCCCCCAGGCGTGGACCGACGTGTACGGTCTCGCAGCGCGCTCCGTCCTCGTCGACCATCCCCGCCCCTTACCTCGTCCTTACCCCGCCCCCTTTCCCCCCCAGACGTGGACCGACGTGTACGGTCTCGCAGCGGGCCCAGTCATCGTCGACCCTCCCCGCCCCTTACCTCGTCCTTACTCCGCCCCCTTTCTCCCCCCCCCCCCCCCTCCTCAGGCGTGGACCGACGTGTACGGTCTCGCAGCGGGATCCGTCCTCCCCCCGACGCGCATGGCCCTCCCGCCCAACGTCCCCCCCGCGCCGCATCTGGAGGACTGCGCGGCGCGTACGGCGCAGCGCATTAAAACGGAGTTGCGCGGACCCAACGGGGAGCCGCCGCGATGGACGCGCGCGCGGGGCGGGTGCTGGTACCCGCAACCCGCGTGGGTGGGTATTGGGCGGAGGGGGAAGGGGCCGATGAGGAGAGGGGAGGGGAAGGGGGTTGGGGAGAGAAAGAGCGTGGGGAAAATGGGTAAGGCGAGAGAAGAAGAGGGGAGGGGGGGAGGGGGGGCGGCGAGGGTGGGGGTGATGCAGCTTTGGGGGTTCTGGAAACATGTGCGGGGCTGGGCGGTGCGGGGCTGGGCGGGAAGGCTGTACTATTGGATTCTAGGTCTTTGCTTGCCTTCTTTCTCCCCCTTTCTCTCCGCCCCCTCATCCTCAGCTCACCCCCATCGTCGCCTCGTTATTTCCATCCCCGTTATTGTCACTCTCGCTCTCTCAGGTGCGAGGCTCAGATGCTGCCAACCTGGCAGCAACCCGCCAAGCGCAGGCCGACATCTGGCAAAACCAGTTCCCAAACCAATCACCGTCAGCTACCACGTCAGCAGCTGCCACCTCAGCAGCTGCAGCATCTCCATCTCAGTCCGAATCAAATCCAGTCTCATCCACGTCAGCAGCTGCCACGTCAGCCTGCTCCGGGCGGCGGCTCTTTGTCGTGGATTGGCCAAAGAGGAAGCACGGGATTGGATCTCAGCTAAGCATCATGAGCGCTTACTTAAGCCTCGCGCTGACTCACAACCGCACGCTCGTTCCCACGCCCGGCACTTACTTAAGAGCCAATCATTCTGAGTGTCTAGAGGCCGGGAACTTAAACTCGTTTGACTGCTATTTCTTTCCGTTGGTTGCTAGGAGTTGTGAGGAGCGAGTGAGGGAGGTGATGGGGGGAGGAGGGGAGGCTGAAAGCTGGGTGGGGAATCGGGCCCAGAAAGAGGGAAATGGGGAGGTGGAAAATAGGGGAATAGGGGGAGATGAGGGGGGGGAGGCAGGCCGAAGGGCAGCAGGAGAAGGGGAAGCAGAGGAGGGGAGGGAGTGGGAGAGGGCGTGCGTGGATCACAGCAACGTGCGGGCCTTATTGGGCTCGGATCGACCAATCGTGAGGTTCTGTGGGAACTACCTTCACCTGAAATACGAGGCTGGCGCTGCCAGGTGATATTTGTACAGTAGCTGGGATCAAGAGTACAGGCATCCATCTCCCTGCATGCCACGTCATCAACACCTGCAACGACATCACCAGCTGCCACGTCATCACCTATCTGCCACGTCATCCTCTGCCTGGCAGGTTGTGGGGGTCGGCGTACCTGAGGCGGCGCAACAGCATTGAAGTGAGAGGGCGAGTAAAGGCCTCTGTGCCGAGGCTGCAACAGGTACGATATGGGTACAGCAGGTACTGCTGCGGCAGCTGTGCACATACCTGAAGCGGCGCAACAGCATTGAAGTGAGGGGGCGAGTGAAGGCATCGGTGCCGAGGCTGCAGCAGGTACGGGAGAAGCAGGTTCGGGAGCAGCAGGTATGGGAGCGGCAGGTATGGGAGAAGCTAAGTATGGGAGCAACAGGTATGGGGCAACAGGCACTGCTGCCACCATAAATGATACCCCTTCCCAACCTTTCCCTCATTTCTTTTTCTCCCTCCCTTATCTTCCTTTCCCCCCCACCGTCAGGTGCACTGGTGGCGTGCCCAATCGCTGCGCTTCATGCTGAGGTGGCCGTCGGCGTACCTGTGCCACGTCAGCAACAGGGTGCGGCAGCAGGCGTATGGTCTCCACGTGGCAGTGCGGATAGAGGAGGCCAGAGCGGCTCAGAAGAGAATTCTTGAATCGCTCAGTGCTGCTGCTGCTGTTAATGGTGGTGATGCTGCTGCTGGTGATGATTCCAGAGCCGCACAGAACGAAACTACAGTAGCAACAGCAGCAGCAGCAGCAGTAGCATCCACGTCAGCAGAAGCAACATCCACGTCAGCAGCAGCATCTGCCAGCGTGGCCATCAATGCCACGGAGGAAGCAGCTTCCCTGCAGTCCATATCCTTCCTCGATACCAGCAGCCTCGCTACAAGCATATGGCCTTCTATCGGATTCGCCGGTTGCAGCCCCAATGATGATAATGATGACAAGGAGAAAACCCCCAAGTTTCGCAAAGCAGGGATGGATGCCGCGAAAGGGCAGAGGGGGGAAGAGGGAGAGGTGGGAGGAGGGGGGAAAGGTGAGAAATCAAGGGGAGGGGGGAAAGCTTTGGCGAAGGAAGAGGGAGAGGGAGCAGGGGATGAGGAGGGGGAGGATGAGGAGGAGGCATACAGGAGAGTGGGTGGGGAGGTGTATATGCCACGGCCGGTGGTGAGTGTGCATGTGAGGCAGGGGGACAAGCAGAAGGAGATGAAGCTGAGCTCGTTCAAGGCGTACATGCTGCACGTGCAGAGGCTGAGACTCAGAGTGCCGGACATGCATTATGTGTGGCTCAGCACGGAAATGCAGGTGAGCTGTACAAGCAGGTACATGAGCTTCAGTTGAGCTTCAGTTGATCTCGTTCCAGATGCTTCACGTGCAGAGGCCGAGACTGAGTGCCAGATGTTCATTATGTGTGGCTCAGCACGGAGATGCTGGTGAGAGGGGTGTGACGGTGGATGAGCCATACGAACAGACAAAAATTGGGTACAAGCAGGTATGAGGAGAGGGAGGTGCGGCTGAGCTCGTTCAGGGCATACATGCTGCACGTGCAGAGGCTGAGACTCAGAGTGCCGGACGGGGATGTTGATTATGTGTGGCTCGGCATTGAGATGCAGGTGAGGGGTGAGCAGGAGGTGAGAGGGTGAAGGTGACGTGTGCAAGAAGGTGAGAGGGTGCAGGTGACGTGTGCAAGGAGGTGGATGGAGGAGAGGGTGCAACTCAGAAGGCAACGGCTGTACATGCAAACATGTGCTCGTGCAACGGCTGAGACTGAGAGAGCCGGATGGGGATGTTGATTATGTGTGGCTCAGCACGGAGATGCATGTGAGAGGGGTGTGAGGGATGCAAGTGAGTTGTGCAAGCAGGTACAAGGAGATACAAGCAGGTATACATGGGTACAAGCAGCTGCAACGAGGGTTTGGATGGTCAGTCAGTCAGTTAGTCAGTTAGTCAGTCAGTCAGTCAGTCATTGACGATTCGGACAGCTACAGCGATTGGATTAGACCTTCCTCTACAGCAAGAACAAGCGAGCAGTCAGTTACCTCGAAGCATCAAACAAATTGCCCCCTATGTTCCCACTCCCTCCCCATCCCTCGCCGTACAGTCGGTGATTGACGACTTGGGCAGCTACAATGATTGGACCTTCCTGTACAGCAAGAACAAGCGCCAGCTCGGGTCAACCCAAATGCTCGAGTACGAGAAGGCAGCGGGGATGGAGCAGCTCGTGGGGGTCAGCTTTGCCAATCTGCTCATCGCTTCTGAATGTGATTTCTTTGTCGGGCCACTTGGGTCGAACTGGAACCGGCTTATCAATAATTTGAGGGACACAAACGGGCGGGTGAATGCGGGGTATGTGGCTCTGAACACTGGTGAATGGTGAACGCTTGGATTGTCAGACTGTGTCAGTGAAGCGCTGCCTGCCAGTGTTGTGTGGGGTGTAGTGGGCGAGTGAGTGCGGGGTATGTGGCACTGGTGAATGGTGAGGGGGATTGTCACCATCAGCAGCACACAGGAGCGGATAAGACACTTTGCCCTGCCTCGCTTGGGTCTAACTGAAATCGGCTTATGGTATCAATAATATGGGGTGTATTGATCTCAAACACTGGTGAATGTGGGGTGTATAGTTCTCAGCACTGGTGAATGATGAGCCTCTGGATCACCTCTTTTTTACAGTTGGCTGGTGTTGATGTGACTTGGAAATACATATACTGATAATATACTAAAAGAATAGTCACCCAGTGTCCAAGATCCTTCCAGTATAATAGCGCCAGGAAAGGTGAGAAGTTTAGGAAAATACCAGAGATTCTGAGTTTGCTTAGGGATCCTGGGTTACGAGTGATGGTGTGGTCTCGCAATGTGTCATCAGGAATTATTTCTCGTCAATACAGCACTAATTCGTAACTCAAGACGTACGAGGCAGTTAATATTGCCAGTTATAACACGAATCAGTATATGAGCATCATGTGATGAACAGCATGAGCAACTGTCTGATTGTGACTTCCAAGAGCCTGCAAGCAAGAACCAAACGAGAGGAACTAAGGACAAGCTCAGCCATGGACTAATCACATATGTTTGTGACCAATCACAGCAATTCATTGTTATTGTAGAGAGGTAGTCAGCCAGTAAATCCTCGAAGCACACCCACTAGGGATGCACCCACTCCGACCAGCAGCTAAACCTCGCCAGCTTGTACGGCAGTTATGTATGCCACGTGGGGATCCCTTAGAACAATATCCTCAATAAAGAGGGCATCGGAGATCGTTCATGGCAACTGAAACGAAAATTCTCACCCCATTTATCCAACTAATTACAACGCACCTTGTAAACGGTGGCAATCAAGCACAGCTTCAGACCAAACGCGACGTATCTCGAGGATCATGATTTTCAGATCCAGTCTGTGAATGCACGCTGAAAGAAGGCATGGGAAGAAAAAAAAAATCACCAGAGAAAATTGGTAACCACATTCGTGAACCAGTACAAGGGTCATGTCCCGTAAGCAATCGTCCAGCCAGCAGACAGGAACTGCGGCAGGATAGCGAGCCACGACCGGTGGTTATGCCTAAGAGGGCCTTCGAACTCCCCCCGAGACCCGCCGTTCTCGCTTCAGGGAACGGGTCGACAGGTGACTGAAAACACTAGCAACCAACTTTTATTGAAGCTTAAAATAAACGATGGAATCAGAGCCGCGTGAACAGTTCAGGTTGAGGAGAAGCAGCGATCAGAGAACTTTGAAGACGTTGAAGCATCACGGCCACAAGTGGCTCAACGCGAGAAAAAGAATCTCCTCATATCGCTGCTGTGTAAATTGAGCAATCGATAATGATCCAGAGCAATACGAAAAAAAAAGCACCGAAACGCACCTTAAACCTGTAAACTTCTGCCGTGAGTCACCGAAACGGGGACTCGTCAGTGCTGTCATCGCCATTGATGTTGTGCTTGCGACTAGGTGTGCACACTTCCACTGTTGCGCAGGAGCACGAACGTCGACAGACGAACCACCATCTGCGAAAAAAAGGCAGGAAAAAAAATCAGATTAAATAATCCAGAGAACATATGTCGAGAGTGGCTGGTAACACTTCGCCTCCTCCAGACGAGGGCAGCGAGCCCCAAGGGGAACGATCCGGCCCAACCAAAGGATCAGCAGGGCCAGCAAGTCCCGGCCACCACCGAAACATTTCTGTTGCAATGAAGTGACCGAACCTCTGATGTAAGCAAAGGGCGGATGGAAGTATTGCGTGATCTCCACCACGGACAGACATAGAGGTAGTAGATACATGAAAATAAAAAATACTACTAGGTCCACTCAGACAAATTTACGTGAGTTGGAAACGAATAATTTTCTTCAGCGCTGCTTAGCAGCTCGAAGCGAGCTGGGTATATATCGAGTCATCACAGTGGACCAGCAGAGTTGTGACGGGTGAACCACTGACACAAAACAAACGCGGCTTGGAGAAAACAAAATGTCGCCGACACAGAACGACGACGATGCGGTGACTGAATCACGGAGGAGGCTCAGACCCTTAGATTCCGCCATCAGCTTTGCGCTCAGACAATAAGGATTGTGATCTATAGATATCATCACCGCCTCCTCCAGTAATCAGCACAACGTGGCTCGTCCACGAACAGTTGCTACCAATGAGAAACGATTCAATGTAGCCATATACGTACCGAATGAAGGTACGATTATCTTGGAAATCAAGTTGAACATTTGCCTTCGATTAGTAACCAAGTGCAGGATAGATGCGAAACTCGTTGAAACTCGATTACCTGCTCCAAGCACCAAGAGGAAGGAGCAAGAGGGTGTCAGAAATGGCGGGTTATATCAGGGACCAAGCTTCGAGAACGCTGAAAAGAGAACATGGTAGAAATATGACAACTTCGAAATGTACATGTGGGGAACGATTATTCGCGGGCATTCAGCGGGATAAACCCTCGGCCTACGACTCAAATTCGCTCTGCCTCAGTGTGCGCCGTATGGGGGCCCCCATCGCCAATCAAATCAAACCCGAGCGACAGGGGAAAATACGGCAGATCGCGTTATTATCTCGAAAACAAACCGTTAACTTCTAACACATCGGTTCCAGCTTACAATGACAGATGAAAGGCTGCAAGAAACAGCGGCCATGACTGCGTGTGAGAAGCACCAACTCGCAGGAATGTCTAGGAGCGTTGATCGTTAGGCAGTAGAAGTGGATGCTATGTGGAGAGAAGAAATCATAAGGGCTGAACGAATTATTTATATGGCCGATCAATTCTGTTGGGCCATCTGCCTTCTGTGGAATGAAAGAGGTGGGTGGGAGGAGATTTGTTGTGGATAGATAAAACCAAGTGACAACTGGCTGAAAGGAGGACGAGGGGTTCGGGGGACGTCGAGATGCTTTTCGGGTGTTGCTGAATGACATTGCCCTGATGGTGGAACTCTATATATGTGCAACTGCCCCTAAAATATGATGGAGGTCGGAGTCAGCTACATATTTCTTATGTATGTGCAACTGCCTCTAAAATATAGATTGGTTTTATATTAGGTCTATGGAATAAATTCCGAATTTATTCTGTTTTTTTGTGCATAGACCGATTATATTTATATTTCATGCTTCACAATAGATATCTGATAATGCATTGCATTGAGTATTGCTGCTACTGCTAGAAAAGCTGGGTATCTTAAATTCTGTTGCGTTTGTACGTTACTACGGATACCTGACATCTAATAGGACCTGCTTATTGCGAACGCGTCCAGGAATGAGTTCTAGGTCACAGTTTTCCTTCACCAGCTACAATTTTCCGTTTCATTCATGGCTGCTACTGTTCCCCCAACACGGCTTCTTGCTGTTGTCGCTGCTCGTGCTGTCTCGCTTTATGATCCAGCTAGCACGCACCTGGTGCTGGTGATTCACCGAGCAGGTAGTATTTTCCGTGGCTGGTTTCTTCGCACGTGTTTTGTAGGACTGGAGGAGTCTTCTCTCGTGCACATTTAGGCTTCCAATCGTGCAGCTGGATTGCAAGTCTTGCTTGATTTGCATAGGTTTCGAAATCCTGCTCAACTTCAGCCATGGATATTCTATCGCGACAGTACGGCAGTGACGAGGAGGGAGGAGAGGATTCTCCGCGAGAGAAGTCCGCGATAACTTCTTCTCCGCCTCGGGAAAAACACGCTTTTGGTACTGGTACTGGTGTAACCCTAACCGGCTCTGCTGGGGTTACTGCTGACAAGTCAGCGTCACGAAGTGCTCAGGAAGATGATGATAACGATAGCGACGACGACAATATGGCGTACAGGATTCTCGCCCCCCCTAGTTCTGCCGCTCCGCCAGTGAGCGACGCGTTACTCGCTGCTGTACCACGCGATATCATGACAGCTCCCATCGATCCGTCGAAGCGGAATTTACAATTCAATCCGACTTACGATCAACTGTGGACTCCTGTAGTGGGACCCGCGCATCCTCATAACGCGGACGGCCGCGCGTTAGGGTTGCGAAACCACCGGCTAGGATCCGTCCAAGACGCATCTGTGGACTCTTTTGTCTTCGATGAACAGTACCACACGTTCCAGGCGTACGGCTACAGTGTTGACCCCGCAAGTGTAAACGGGACCGAGGTCGTGGGTGATAAAGAAGCGGTTGACAATAAGGCGGGTGCTACAGTGTACAATGTGTCTAAACAGGAGCGGGAAAAGCGGGCTATGGCAGTGAAAGAGGAGGAGAGAAGGAAAAAGGCGGAGGAGAAGCAGAGGAAAGAGGAGGAGAGGAAGAGGAAGGAAGAGAAGAAGAGGCGGAAGGAGGAGGAGAGAGCGAAGAAGGAAGAGAGGAAGAGGAAGAAGGAGGAGGAGAAAGCGAGGAAGGCTGCAAAGAAGAAGCGGAAAGGGGAAGGTGATGTGGGGGCGGAGGTGGGAGCGGAAGGGGGGGAGGGAGCAGGAGGAGAGGGGGAGGGGGAGGGGGAGGGGGAAGGGGAGGGAAAGAAGCGAGGGCGGCAAGGGAAGGGTGCTCAAGAGGAGGAGAGTGAGGGAAGGGCAAAGAAGAGCAAGGAGGAAGAGAGAGAAGAGGAAGATAAAGAAGAGGAAGAAGAGGAGAGTGAGGAGGAGGAAGAGGAGGAGGAGGAGGAGGAGGAAGAGAGCGAAGAAGAGGAAGAGGAGGAAGAGAGTGAAGAAGAGGAGGACGAGGAAGAGGAGGCACCAGTTGAGGAACTGGCCAATCCGGCGTCAGAATCGTGGCTCCTCAAAAGCTCCAAGTCCCCCTGGGCAGGCAAAAAAGAGGAACCCAAGGCTGAGCTGACCGAGGAGCAAAAAAAATACGCGGAGGAGCACGCTTTGAAGAAAGCCAAGAAGGAGAGGGGCGACAAGGAGGAGGTGGAGGAGAAGAGCACGTTCCACGGGAAGCAAGAGAAGGACTATCAGGGCCGGTCCTGGATTGCTCCTCCTAAAGACTCCCTTAATCCCGTGCCGCCCACGCACTGCTATATTCCCAAGCGGTGGATCCACACGTGGAGCGGGCATACTAAGGGCGTCAGTGCTATCCGGTTCTTCCCCAAGTGAGTGCTATTCGGTGTAGGTGCAAGGTAACTGTCTCTAGGTGACGTACACGCCCACGCATTGTTATATTCCGAAGCGATGGATCCACACGTGGAGCGGGCATACCAAGGGTGTCAGTGCCATCCGGTTCTTCCCCAAGTGAGTGCTATTCGGTGTAGGTGCAAGGTAACTGTCTCTAGGTGACGTACACGCCCACGCATTGTTATATTCCGAAGCGATGGATCCACACGTGGAGCGGGCATACCAAGGGTGTCAGTGCCATCCGGTTCTTCCCCAAGTGAGTGCTATTCGGTGTAGGTGCAAGGTAACTGTCTCCAGGTGACGTACACGCCCACGCATTGTTATATTCCGAAGCGATGGATCCACACGTGGAGGGGGAATACCAAGGGTGTCAGTGCCATCCGGTTCTTCCCCAAGTGAGTGTTCTAGATGTTATCTCTCTACATGCCAGTAGCTGTAGGCGTCAGAATGTGAGAGAATCACTTGGTGAGTTATGAGACGCCTTTCAACTGGACTCACACGTGGAATGGGCATACCAAGGGCGTCAGTGCTATCCGGTTCTTCCGCAAGTGAGTATCATAGGTGCAACGCCAGGTGTAGCGAGGTTGTTTTTGAGAAGTGAACCTCAAAAACGACCTCGCTACTCATAGGTGCAAGGCCAGGATTCCCAAGTGTCAGTAGTTGCAAGTGCAGGTGAATCAGGGACGTTGCTATCACACACAAATGCATGCGCACATGCATGGGTGGCTCCAAGGCCGTGCGCGATATCTGCTCCTCCTCTCCTCCCCTCTTCTCCTCACTCTCCCCTTTTCCCCTCTCTTCCCCCTCTTCTCCTCTCTCTCCCCTTTTTTTTCTCTCTCTTCCCCTCCGTTTTCCCACCCATCTCTCCTCTATTCTGCTTCCCTTTTCTCATCCTCTCCTCTGTACCACCAGGTACGGCCATCTGCTGCTGTCGGCATCAATGGACACCAAGATCAAGATCTGGGACGTACCCAACACGCAGAAGTGCATGCGCACATACATGGGTCACTCCAAGGCTGTTCGAGACATCTGTTTCGCGAACGACGGGCTGAAATTCGTCTCGTGCGGTTACGACCGTAACATCAAGCTCTGGGACACCGAGACCGGGCAGGTCACGGGGACGTTTTCCACGGGTAAAATACCCTATGTGGTGAAATTACACCCGGACGACGACAAGCAGAACATTTTGCTGGCCGGGATGAGCGACAAGAAGATCATGCAGTGGGACACGCGGTCAGGGGAAATTACCCAGGAATATGACCAGCATTTGGGCGCAGTCAATACAATTACGTTTCTGGATGACAACAGGCGGTTTGTAACGAGCAGCGACGACAAATCGCTGCGTGTGTGGGAGTTTGGAATCCCCGTTGTCGTCAAGTATATCAGGTACGCAATGAGCCAGCTCTTCTTTTCAGCCCTACTCTGCTCTTCGCTCTGTCCCTTTTGAGTAAACTTTAATGTAATTCTGTCAAGCCCCTGCTTGTGTGAGGGTTTGGGATTCCCATTCTCATCAAGTATATCTTATAACCTCCTCTGCTCTGCTTTCCCCTTTGCTCGTCCTGCTCCTGTTTTCCTGCTCCTCATCCCTTCTCATTCCGCCTCTCCTCTTTTCCGACTTCCCTCTGCTCACTCCTCTGCTTTCTGTCCCTCCTCTCCCCCACACCAGTGAGCCGCACATGCACTCCATGCCTGCAATAGCAGTGCATCCCAACAAGGCTTGGGTGGCAGCTCAATCCTTGGACAACCAGATCATCGTGTATGGTGCAAAGGACCGATTCCGACTCAACAGGAAGAAGCGGTTCGCAGGACACATCATTGCTGGATACGCCTGCCAGGTGGGATGGGGAGAGCGCCTTTCAGGGTTCTGGTGTAGGGCTTGTGGGTACAGGTTTGAGGACACACAGGCATAGGGGTGGTGGGCTGGCTTCTTAATCCCTGGAAAACCAGACCAGATCATTGTATATGGTGCCAAGGACCGCTTTAGGCTCAACAGGAAGAAGCGATTCGCCGGTCACATCATTGCGGGATATGCCTGACAGGTGGGTGGAGGGCTTATGCAAACTCTTGTAAAGGATTGGGGAGGAGGAATTGGCTCGGAGAGTAGGAAGAGGCTCGGAGAGGAGGAAGAGGCTCGGAGAGGAGGAAGAGGCTCGGAGAGGAGGAAGAGGCTCGGAGAGGAGGAAGAGGCTCGGAGAGGAGGAAGAGGCTCGGAGAGGAGGAAGAGGCTCGGAGAGGAGGAAGAGGTTTGGGGGGGACAGACTTGGGAGGACACAGGCATAGACGAAGGTCAACTTTTCACTCCCCACCTGGACCCGCAATCCCCACACCACCCGGTCAACTTTTAGGCGGTCGCGACATAAAGTCGGGACGGCGAGGGCAAGCTGTTGTTTTGATTGCCCCATTCCCGTGCCCAACCCCGCATGCCACCTACACCCCACCAAGTGAACTTCTCCCCCGACGGGCGCTTTATAATATCCGGGGATTGCGAGGGCAAGCTGTGACTCTGGATGCCCCACCCTCACACACTCCCCCACTCACCTCCCCAACCCTTCCCCCACCCCCACACACTCCCCCACTCACCTCCCCAACCCTTCCCCCACCCCCACACACTCCCCCACTCACCTCCCCAACCCTTCCCCCACCCCCACACACTCCCCCACTCACCTCCCCAACCCTTCCCCCACCCCCACACACTCCCCCACTCACCTCCCCAACCCTTCCCCCACCCCCACACACTCCCCCACTCACCTCCCCAACCCTTCCCCCACCCCCTCATCAGGTCAACTTCTCTCCAGATGGCCGGTTCATAATGTCGGGCGACGGAGAGGGCAAGCTGTGGTTCTGGGACTGGAAGACATGCAAGGTGTTCCGTACAGTCAAGTGCCACGACTCCGTGTGCATTGGGTGCGAGTGGCATCCCCTAGAGACCAGCAAGGTCGCCACATGCGGCTGGGACGGACTCATCAAGTACTGGTGAGATAACTCGTTTGTGTGTCCCAAAAGTATCATACTTTGTTATGGAATAATATGGGTTGTTATGGTCTAGTGCCCGTGTCACGACTCGGTGTGCATCGGGTGTGAGTGGCACCCGCTGGAGACGAGCAAGGTGGCCACATGCCACTGGGATGGACTCATCAAATACTGGTGAGATACTCGTAGTGGTTGGTTACTGTAGATTGCATGTGTCTTGAATGTTCTGCACAGTCAAGTGCCACGACTCGGTGTGCATCGGGTGTGAGTGGCACCCGCTTGAGACCAGCAAGGTGGCCACATACCGCTGGGACGGACTCATCAAATACTGGTGAGCGTTTTTCGCAGTGTGGCGGTTTGGTATGGTACTGTAGATCATGTGTGTTGTTTGTTACTACAGAGGTTGTTTGGATGCGCCGCTCGGTCACGTGCCATGGCTTGGTGTGCCATGACTTGATGTGAATGTGTGGTTGGGATGGGCTCTTTTTACTACGAAGCGTAGTGGTTTGTTACTGTATATCATGTGTTGCTAGAATGCTATTTATGCATGTTTCTCACGGTCAAGTGCCATGCAAGGTGGTCACATGCGTTAGACCACCTCTGTTTTATGCTAATTGAATGTGGGGTGTCTTCTCTTCATCACTGTAGTAATTGATATTGGATGTGTATGTGGCTTTGCATCTTGTGTGAAACAGGGATTGACGAACCTTTTGCGGAATGAGGGTGGAGTCAACTTTCTTAGTTGGCCTTATCAAGTGTGTTGCTTGCATTCCTCCAAATTCTTCCTTATGAAGGAGCTCCAGTTTTGCTGATTTGCAATATGCTATGAGATGCTTACATTTCCGTTCTTGTTTGGAGCTCCAGTTTTGCTGAATTTCAATATGGTGCAAACAAACACTCATTTTGATGATATTGGATTTCACTGAATTTGCCTTTCCATGTTTTACCCTCTTCTCAAGCTACTTTTCCACCCTATATGATGTACCGTATAGTGCCAAGCTTTTCTCTCGCACCTGTGTGACTGTGTCACTTGCATATGTATCTCGATTGCTACAGCTACAGTGAGTCGCATAAACCGCGTTTGCCGGAGCACGCGCATTCCAGCAGGGCATTGTTGTCACCGCCGCGCGCCTCTTTGGAATGCGCCACCACTGCCAGTGAGGTCTGCAGAGACTACATTCCGCAGCCTACCTTGGGAATTGGAAGCAATTAAAGGTACCCACGTGGAAAATGATCCAATTGCATAGCTCCAGCTAGGTTGTATGACGCCAGGTTTGGCCAGCCGCATACAGCCCACACATCTGTCCTCCGCGCGCGGTCCCTGCACCTTTTTTCCAAATACCCGCTCGCCTCTCTCCGCTCCGCGCGCGAAGCCCTCCGCAGCAGGAATGTCTGCTTCCCCAACCGCGCGCTCAACTTTCCGCCTCTCTCCTCTTCCCGTTTGCGCTGCGCCCAGCGCGACTCGACCACCCAATCCCACGATATTTTCGTGGCGAAGATCTCTGGGGGAATTCCTTCTGAGAACTCGCAGCAGGAATCCAGTAGTAGATATTTTGATCCGTCTCTCATAGCACCAATTAGTCGGAAGAACACATTATTTTCCAGTGATCGGTCTCCTTTGATTCTTTCGTCCGAACCTCCTACATCCTTCAGCCTTTCCGAATTCGGCTGTGTTGCTCTTCTCGTTCGGCCACTATCGCCTGGTTGACTCCGCTTCAAGTGTTTCATCGCCATGGCGTCTACCATTGACCAGCTGAAGAACCTTCCCATCACAACCGACGATATCATCGCGGAATACGTCTGGTGAGCATTTCGGAATATGTCGGAATATGCCTCGAAGATCAGTCTAGTTTTGGTTCCAATGTCAGCGTTTGCTTTCTCCATCTGACACTCCTTGAACGTCGTCGTTTTCATTTTCGCAGGATTGGAGGATCTGGAATTGATGTCAGGAGCAAGGCCAGGGTAAGCCTCCTGCCGAACATATCTAGTACACAGCATCCCGTTTAAAGCATTTATTCAGCGTCTGTTCGATTCATGCCTCCCGCCTAGTAGTTCACAGCATCCTGTACCTTGTTTTCTCATGCAAGTTCTTAAAGCAGTCAGCAAGTATTAAGGGTCTGCTTCATTCATTTCATGCCACATCCCGTTTCTGTTTTCTTCTTCGTGCAGACTGTGAAGGGTCCCATTGGTCCCGCCGACGTCGCGAAGCTTCCCAAGTGGAACTTCGATGGTTCCAGCACAGGCCAGGCTCCGGGCACGGACAGCGAAGTGATCCTCTAGTGAGTCCCGCCGCCTCCCATTAAAGACATCTCAATAGTACGGCTAGTAGTAGCCAGAAAACATGTACTTCACTCTAACATGTCGTCCTTTGACGTTCTGATATGCCGGACTTGTGGCTTGTCTATTCTATTTGGTATTGTGCTCTATTTTTTACTCTACCTGGCAGCCCCCAAGCCGTGTTCAAGGATCCCTTCCGTGGTGGCGACAACATTCTGGTGAGAAGCTGCTAGTAGTAGTCCTACTAGGCCCTGACACGGGTTCTGGCACGCGCTCTGTCGCGTTCGCTTCTACGCTTGCGCTATGCGAGCAGCAATGCGGCCTCGACTTGCGATTGGTTCTCCTTCAACGTATTTTATCGAGCACCACTAATAGCACTAGAATCCAGCGATACTTAATTTCTTAACCTCGTTTTGTTGCCAGGTCATGTGCGACTGCTACACGCCGCAAGGCGAGCCCATTCCCAGCAACAAGCGCGCCTTCGCAGCTGATGTGTTTAAGAAGGTCGAGGACCACGTGCCCTGGTACGTCCCTTCTTCCCAACTCCCATCATGACATTTGAGACGACTTATTCGTTGCCTTCGCAGCTGATGTGCTGGGAAAGGTCGAGGACTACGTGCCCTGGTACGTCCCTTCCCAACATGACTTGAAAGTCCCCTCCGCAGCTGATGCGTTGAAGAAGGCCCCAACAGTCATGCTTAGTTGCATTCCTTCAATAATGCATCCAAGCCCTGTTACTATGGCAGTATCATTCCCACACTGTCTACTTGCATGCTACTGCTTTCTCGTGCCCCTTCTCGGCAATTCACATCCCTCGTCACTCTTTAGATTCTCATGTGATGTTAATCCGTGTCCTTGTCACCCGCACCTAACCCTGCCTCGGCGTCCCCGAACTTTCCTCGCAGGTTCGGCTTGGAGCAGGAGTACACTCTCCTCAAGAAGGACGTCAAGTGGCCTCTCGGCTGGCCCACTGGCGGCTACCCCGCGCCGCAAGGCCCGTACTACTGCGGCACGGGCGCAGACAAGGCGTGGGGTCGCGACATCGTCGACGCACACTACAAGGCGTGTCTGTACGCGGGGATTAAGATCAGCGGTATCAACGCGGAGGTGATGCCGGGCCAGTGGGAGTTCCAGGTGGGCCCCTGCACGGGCATCGAGGCGGGCGATCATCTGTGGATGGCGCGATATTTGCTCGAGAGAGTGACGGAGATGGCTGACGTGGTGCTCTCGCTGGATCCCAAGCCGATCGAGGGCGACTGGAACGGCGCCGGCTGCCATACCAACTACAGGTCGGTTGGCTCTCGCCTGGAAGCTTCTGGATCTCGCCTAAAACTCCCCATCTTTTTCAGTTTCCGGAACAGTTGCGGTTTTTCGCCAGATTGCCAGCTTTCTTTTGGTTCTGGGTTGCTGATTGGTTTCGTTGTTGTGGTGCTGTGTACCAACGGTTGGGATTTCCTCATGCAGCACGAAGGCGATGCGCGAGGAGGGCGGGTACGATCTGATCGTGAAGGCGATCGAGAAGCTGGGGCTGAAGCACAAGGAGCACATCGCGGCGTACGGCGAGGGCAACGAGCGCCGCCTCACGGGCAAGCATGAGACGGCCGACATGAACACCTTCTCCTGGGTACGCGCTGCTTTCCCCCTCCGTGTATTTTCCGTCGTACAAAATCTTACTGCACCCAGTGAGGCATTAAGATTTTGTAGCTTCGCTATCGTTAATGCCTCACTGGGTTCTCCTGGGCTGCTCCTTTTTACATTCTTACCAGCATGATGAGAGCACGCCACAGCAGTTTGAATGAACGAGCCATTATCTGCTATCTGCTCCTTTTTCAATTCGCGATCTGCTCCTTTTTCCTCCCTTCCTACTTCTCTCCCTTCAGGGTGTGGCCAACCGAGGCTGCTCTGTCCGGGTGGGTCGCGACACAGAGGCGGAGAAGAAGGGTGAGTTGCTTCTATATTGAAATTACGCAACCTGTTGTGCAAGCGGATTCCGGAGCCTGCTTTTGGACCTTTCGTAGAATCTCTGAATTTGCTCTCCAGGGTTTCAGAATCCCTAACCTTGACCTCACCTCCCACTCTCCTTCACGCCAGGTTACTTTGAGGACAGGCGGCCATCGTCCAACATGGACCCATACATTGTCACGGGCAAGATTGCAGAGACCACCATCCTGTGGGAGCCCACTGGTATGCTTCTTTTTTTTCATAATTTCTGTTGCAGTTTGTTCCATTCAAAGCTTCAGCCAAATAAAGTGTCTTCTCTACATCTACTTCCATGCTTTGAAAGCTCATGGTTTGTCTTTTTGTGCTCTGAAATCCGTGTCTTGGCTGTGCAGCATAAGCATCTCTCCACACACAGGGGCGCATTGCAACAGTTGTAGCCCATTAGAAGGGGCCTTGTTAGCAAGGTCCGGTGTTATTGTTTATTCCCTTTTGGCGTGCTATGTCATAATTGCAGTATTTATTTATTCCAACCTCAGCCACGTATTCCAGAGACGTGCAAACACCACACTAAGCCTGACATCAGCACCAACTGGATTGTGAATGGAATTCCAGCCAGCCCAACAGGTTTGCGAGTGGGCATGATGAGGCACAACCAGAGGTTCCGATTACAGAACACATAGACCATGCCATTAAACTGCATACATCATCCAAACTACCACATATATACATCACACCACATTGTACATTTTATATCAATGCGACCATGCATCCAGCCTGCCACTCCTGCCTTATCACTCCCTCCCTCACTATTCCTGCCCGCGCAACAGAGACGAGAACCAAGAGCCAATAGAAAAGAACGTGCCTGTGAGCCAATTCACACCAAACACCCTTGAGAAGGTGGACGTCAGAGGGCTCAGGAAACCCATCATTCCTCCCAACCCCCCTCCTCCTCCCCCACTGCCACTGCTGCTGGTAGCAGCAGTTGGTGGGGAGGGTAACTGGGAGGGCACCTGGATGGGTAGGTTACGAGTGGTGGCAGTTGCAGGGAGGACGATTGGTGAATCCCCCGTGGCAGAAGGGCGGGCCCTGATGGGTGTTGAGGCGGCTACTTTAGCAGCAGTCGAAGGGCGGCCTCTTGTGGATGCTGAGTCGGGCACAGCAGCTGCAGCAGCCAAAGGGAGGCTCCTTGCAGGCGTTGAGACAGGCACTGCAGCAGCAGAGGGGTTGCCCCTAGTGGGTGTTGAGACAGGCACAGCAGCAGACGGGAGTACCCTGGAGGCTGTTGAGGCAGGCACAGCAGCAGAGGAAGGGTGGCCTCTTACAGGTGTTGTCGAAACAGGCATCACAGCAGCAGAGGGGTTGCCCCTAGTGGGTGTTGAGACAGATACAGCAGCAGAAGGAGGGCGGGTTAGGACTGCGCTACTGGTAGCAGAGGGGCCTGACACACCCGCCGCCCTCGCTCCTGTTGCAGATGCAACCATTGTCCCAGGAACTGCTGTAGGCACGGTTGCAGGCACGGTTGCAGGCACGGTTGCAGGCACGGTTGCAGGCACGGTTGCAGGCACGGTTGCAGGCACGGTTGCAGGCACGGTTGCAGGCAGGGTTGCAGGTACGGCTGCAGGCACGGTTGCAGGTACAGTGGCAGGTACGGATGCCGGTACGGTTGCAGGCATGGTTGCAAGTCCTGTTGCAGGTATGGCTGCAGGCACGGTTGCAGGCACGGTTGCAGGCACTGTTCCTCGTAGAGCCACTGAGCTCGCCCCTTGGCTGCCTGTTGGTTGACTGACTGCAGGTGTAGGCAGAGCCCCGGTTGCAGACACAGTTGCAGGCACTGCTGCTGGCACTGCACGTGGCACTGTTGACGGCACTGCTGCTGGCACTGCCCCTCGTAGAGGCACTGTGCTCACCCCTTGGCTGCTCACTGGCTGACTGACTGCAGGTGTGGACAGAGGCCCGGTTGTAGCAAGAACCGCAGGTGTAACCAGAGGCCCTGCTGTAGGTGTAACTTGAGTTCCTGCCGTGACAGAAGCTCTTGGTGTAGCAGTGCTTCGTGCTGCAGCACCAATTCCCGCTGTAACAGGCGCTGTGGGTGTTACACGCGCTCCAGGCGTAACTGGGGCAGGCGTAACAGTGGCCGTTGTTACAGGTGTTGTGGATGTAACAGGGAGTCTAGATGTAACAGGGAGTCTAGGTGTTACAGGGGCAGGCGCTACCAACGGTTGCTGCTTCGCTTGTGGGGGAACAAGTGGCACAGACGAACGCAATGATGCCGTGGTGGCCTGGCGGGCAGCAGATGCCGGAGGCACCTGGCCAAGTGGAGGACGGGACGCTGCCGCCCGTGCCGCCCGTGCTGCCGCAGATGCTGCCGACGCTGCCGACGCAGCTGATGCCGCTGAGGCTGCAGATGCTCGCGATGCCAGCGATGGCGCTGATGCTGCTGGTGGTGGTGGTGGAGCACGGGAAGCTGCCGCCCTTGCTGCCGCTGAGGCTGCAGATGCTCGCGATGCCAGCGATGGCGCTGATGCTGCTGGTGGTGGTGGTGGAGCACGGGAAGCTGCCGCCCTTGCTGCCGCTGAGGCTGCAGATGCTCGTGATGCCAGCGATGCTGCTGATGCTGGTGGTGGTGGTGTCGCCGCTGTTGCGAGTATTCCTGTGGATGAAGGAGTTGGGGAAGTGGTTGAGAGCGAGAGGCGAGGGGATTCGACAAGGACGGTAAACCAGAAAGCTTTGTTGCTGTGAAAAATGGGGGTGTGTTGGGGGAGTGGACACAGGAAGGGGTCACAGGAAGGGAGGTCGGGTCCATAGTTCCTCTGTTGAGTCAGACAGGCACAGACAGACAGACAGAAGCATACCAGCTCAAACTATTTCCCCATGAGACGACAATGATGTACCAGTGAAGCTGATAATAACGAGGCAGCACAGAAACACCAGCAGCGGCTGATGGAAAGGGACTGGGATCCGTGTGTGCGCCATCAGACACGCTTCCTCCGCTTGCGTCCAGTCACGGTCGCTGCGAGTTTCTGGTGAGAGTTGCTTCAGGGAGTCACGGGCACCGCGAGCTGAGCAAGAGAGGCGCCTCTTGTCTGAGAGTTAAGGTGAGATGGCTCTTTTTATCCCCTTCTGCTACGAGGCGTTCGTACCGTTAGACAGCAGCAGAAGCAGACTCAAAAGACTTAGCTCAGGAGGAGTTCTCCACGTAACACCCTCGAGTAGCTCAGCCCAGTATCACAGCTCGGATCACAATGACTAACGCTCACGACGACGTTGATGACCATCACTCACCCTGAGCCCTTCTTTATAAACGAGGTGTTCTTTACAAAGAGCGGCGAATCACTCCGATCAGGAATTCGCGACGCGCGATTGATTTCTCTGCTGGTTGCTACTAGCAGTCTGGATGCGTGATTTCCAGCCATTGATGCGAGCCCCGTCGAGCCGCAAAAGCGCACAGATCGCTAGTTCGTCCAAGCCGCTGCGGACAAAAGCTGGCGAAATTGGCCGCCGCGAAGAGCGCCGCATTGATTACAGGGGCTTTGTTGGCACGTGTTCGATTGTAACGGATTGAGCCGATTTGTACTGACGTAATTACAAATAAACCCCACGCCTCGCACTCCATTCGTTCTCAACCCATCCTTCGCCTGTGTCCGTCTCAGCAGGCATTTCCAGGCAGGCTTGGATCGCCATGGTTGTTGCACACTACCAGTGGTCATTCCAATGAACGAAAAGTTCCTGGGAAATGGATTGACTCGGAAAGTTCTTATGAGAAGTTGAACTCTAGAAGTTGAACTCTGAGTCTGGTGGAGTTCAAGCATTCCAGGTCATGATTGCTCTTTCCAGGCTGGCAAGAACGCGTAAGCTGGCGGCATGGTAGCTTTTCACCACGATGACAAATGGAGGAGCCTACAACTGATCGGCGTGTAAGGGCTGAACATACAACATTGACGATTTCAAGATTCCAGGAAGAACACAGAGAATTGTGAGTAGGGGGGAACAGCGGAGTCCTGTGCACGGCATGAATTGTATCGAATTGAGAAAGCCCAGGAAACGGGGAAGGGAAGAATAACAATGTAGGTCTACAATTGAGAGAGAGCTTGAAATGGGAGTGGCAAAAAATCTCTGAGGTTCATACACTGGACTGGAGGGATGAACATTCAAGTGATACGCATAAACGTAATCAATCCCATCTCACCCCATTCAACGCCTTTACAGCCCATACCATCCCATCGCATCCCCTTCCCGTCCCATCATATCCCACCGCACCGCATCTGACACCACTCAATGATGGAGACGCGGGAAACCCAAAATTACGCGATCCGACTTTTTTGCACATGACAAGATGGGTTTGACAGGGTTGAGCACATACATGTTCTCGGTCGAATGAAACCAGTGCGGAGTGTAGCTGCTGTAACTAGGATTTACAGTATTCGATTAGACCCGATATAAGGCGACACTCGTTTGGCATCCGGCCGTTTCTAGGGATTGGCCCTTCTGCCACCAAAATGCCAATTTTCCCACCACCCGCTCCTCCACCAGTAGCGAAAACGCATGAGTTAGCCGTTATGGTTACTAGCCTTCTTTGTGCCGGGCAAACTATGAGACCCCTTGGATCGCCGCACTTCGCGAAACGGTTTGTCGCCAAAGCCGAAAATGGCATCTCTTGGACTTCTCTGGATCGGAGAATCAGGGTGGGTGAATCAAGGCAGGTAGGTTGTTCAGAGGAGAAATCTGGGTGAGCTTGTCCAGGAGAGGAGTCTTGGAATCTTCAGCCATACCTTCCCTGCTGTAATTTCTAGGAGAGAGCTCGCAGCAACACTTACTTCATCGGGGATCAGGATTCAGGAAATCCCTAGAACGCTCAACCAAGTCGTGTTCCTATTTTTTAGGAATTTCTGATCCGTTGGCCTATTTTCTGGATCAGCTACCGCGATCTCGTCCTCCTGAAGCCTGGCCATGGCTCAGGAGCAAGTTGATACCCTAGTCCATTAGCAGTGAAAGGTCTTACCTGTAGTAATCGTTTCCCACTCGGTTCTTGCAGCCAGACATCTGGGATGTTGTGACGGATCATCCCTCTTGCGTGGCCTTAGCTTGAGCTTCTTAGGGTGCCTGGTCAACTTAGATCTAGTTCTTCGGTCACTATCTTAGTTCTAGATCATTCGCTGGTGCTTCAATACGGGTTGACCTGCTGCAAAAACCGTCGATTTTTGTAAGTCGCAACGGTCTATGGTTACGATAGGCATCGCGACTGTCACATCAGCTGCCTAAGCCACGTTAAGCATTGTTCTGACTCTTTTCCGCCATTCGCGTCGACTCGACCAGGCTCCTTACTACCTGGCCTTATTCTCGCTCCGCCCTTACTTTCCGCTTTTCCCTTAGGTTTCACAGAAGCAGGCGCCATGTCGGGCGCGGCGTCAGCGGTGTACATCCTGGACATGAAGGGGAGGGTCCTGATATGGAGGGATTACCGTGGCGATGTTCCTGCATCCGCTGCAGAGAAATTCTTTAACAAGCTGATGGAAGGCGAGGTACGCGATGAGGATTGAAGTCAAACCATATTCATGTCCTGATGTGGATCATTACAGCATAAGAATGCCTGAAGTTTAGGCGGACTCTCGGTGTATGTTTACAGCGTCGTGCAAGCTCTCATTTTCCAACAGAGAATCCAGGAATGCATTTTAGGATCGTAGTCCGCATGTCATTCTGGCGACATTGGCTGGTCGTGGAAGTATTCTGTTTGGATTTCACCGTCAGTGTCAGATTGTGTATTCAAATCTGACCGTTTGGTCGCTTCTGCTTGCCGTCTCACTAGTTGACATCCGCTCTGCGTCATTTCACGCTCTATCCATTGATTCCTCGTAACCGACGGTTCCGAATCCTCACACGCTTGCGCTCTCATTGTCGCGTCAGGCTGACCCGTCCTCGCGAGAGCCGGTGATTCTGGACAACGGAGTTACGTACCTCTTCATTCAGCACAACAACGTGTACCTCATGATCGCCACCCGGCAAAACGCCAACGCGGCCAGCCTACTGCTCTTCCTTCACAAAGCCGTGGAGGTGAGTGGGTCGTAGGGATTGGTTTGAGTTGGGTCGGATGTGCCGGTAATTGCTCATGTATGCCTGGTGATGGTTTGGATGTCAATGATGATGGCTCGTGTGTGCCTGGGCATGGCTCGGATGCGCCTGCTGATGGCTGATGTGTGCTTTGCGATGGTTTAGATGTCCCTTATGATGGCTCATGTATGCTTTGCGGTGGGTCATATGTACCTCGTGGTTGCATCGCATATCTCGCGCGTATCTCATGATTGGATCGGCTATGGCTGATGCGAATCGCATGCGTCTGACGATGTAGTCGCATGTGTCTGACTTGAGTTACATGCATCTGATGACTGGTTCTCGTGCACCTGATGATTGAGTCGCATGAAATCGATCTTTGGGTCGCATGCAGCCAACAGCATGGGAATTGACATAGCTTCACGTGTTCGGGCTGTGTGATTTTTTCTGATCAGTTTTTGGGAAGCTGCGAGCAAATCCGCTGCGGTGTTTAGTAACAACGACAAATGTTTCCATCATTGATACAGAAGAGTCGTGACCGTAAGTCTGTGTCGGATGGCGGTAGGTACTAATGATGCATACGAATCTTCATGTGTATTTTCTTTCGTCACAGGTCTTCAAGTACTACTTCGACGAGCTGGAAGAGGAGTCCCTAAGAGACAACTTCGTCATTGTGGTACGTGTTGTTGCTTGAAAGTGTTTCCATCACAGCAAGCCAACTGAGTCTCTGCCTATTGTGGTTTCCATGTCCCGATTCGTTCTTCTTGCTGGTCTTCACTCCCATTACCTTCACATTCCCCTTCCCGACCCCATCCCTACCCGTCTCCCGCCCCAACTCTCCCATGCTCCCCACCCCAACTCTTCCATGCTCCTCACCCCTCCCCTCCCCATCTACCCATTCTTCCTCTCCCAAATTTCCCACCTCTCCCCTCCCCCGCTCCTCACCTTACCCCTTTTTTCCACTTAACTCTTTTGCCTATCCTGTGCCACCACCGTGCAGTACCAGCTACTGGCCGAAATAATGGATTATGGTGCCCGTAAGTCACTCTCCCCGTCCCTCTCCCGACCCCACCCGTCCCCCTCTCCTCGCCCCTCCCTTTTTCCCCATTCCCCCGTTCTTCCTTTCACCTTCCCTGTGCCACCACCGCGCAGTACGAGCTACTGGACGAGATAATGGATTTTGGGTACCCGCAATTCACAGAGGCAAAGATTCTGAGCGAGTTCATCAAGACGGACTCGTACCGGCTGGAGCTGTCCACGCCCAAGCCCAACATCGCTGCCGTCACCAACGCCGTCTCCTGGCGTAGCGAGGGCATCCGCTACAAGAAGAACGAGGTGAGTTGCGTGCATGAGTTGTGGGTGCCTATGGTGTTAGGGAGAGCCCTCCACACACTTCTAGGTGTCACCAACGCCGTGTTGTAGCAAGGGCATCCGGTACAAGAAGAACGAGGTGAGCGTGTGCAAGGGGGGGTGGGCATGCATGGAACGAGGTGGGCGCATGCATGGAACGAGGTGGGCGCATGCATGGAACGAGGTGAGCGTGCAAGCATGGAAAGAGGTGAGCGCATGCCTATGTTTCAGGTGCATATGGTGCGAGCGAATGCCTGGATTTTGAATCCATATTCGGGAATGCCTGGATTTTAGAGTGGGTCCTCCTCGCAGTCTAAGTGATTTGTATTCTGATAGCTGTTTCCTCTCGCCTGTTTGCAAACCTGAGTATCACACACTGAACTGCCATGGTAATTCTTCTTGTACGTAATCAGCTTTTTCTTCTTCCTTTTTCAAGCTGATTACGTGTTTCCTTATGTGCAGGTGTTCCTGGACGTGGTTGAGAGTGTGAACATCCTAAACATTCTCAGACTCTGAACGGTTCCAAGCGTTTGCTTTCTATGTCTTTTTGGATGCCTCTGTCCTTATTTGCAGGTGTTCCTGGACGTGGTTGAGAGTGTGAACATCCTGGTGAACAGCAACGGTCAAGTGGTGCGGTCTGAAGTCGTGGGCGCCCTCAAGATGCGAACGTACCTCAGGTGAAGACACGAGGGGCAGTGAAGAGGAGGGGAAAGCCAGGGGAGGAAGGGGGGTGGAGAGGAATGCGAGAGAGAGGGAGGTGGGGTGGTGAATGGCTGGGAAGGAGGGGTGTGGGAGGGGGTTGGGTCATGGACCATGACTGTGCTCCTCTTGTCCCTTGGGATTGTCTTTGAGCCTATTCTTCTCTCTCGGTGGCTTGCCAAAGTACAAGCCAGGGCTCAACAGGCCAGAGGCATTTTCCAGACAACCGAAACTCGCGTCATGTGCCCGATCCTTCCTGTTCTTTCTCCTTTCCAAATTCGACGCATGTGATCTCCTTTCACATGTTGTCCCGTCCCAGTGACTGCCAGAGTGCAAGTTGGGTCTGGACGATCAAACTCGTGTCTTCCTGCTCCCTCTTACGCTTTATCCCCCTTTCAGTGGCATGCCAGAGTGCAAGCTAGGGTTGAACGATCGAGTGCTGCTGGAGGCACAGGGTAGAGCGACCAAGGGCAAGGCGATTGATCTGGACGACATTAAGTTCCACCAGTGAGTGGTCCCCAGAGCCCACTGTATTCCCCTCGTGCATGCCCATACATTCACAACACACCTGCTAGCCAACTGTTTACCTCTTGGTGCCCGCGCATACATACGGGTGCTGTCTGGGGTCCTGGGTAAATGCGTTCATAGATCAATCCCCCCTTAAGATTGAATGCCCATCTTGAACCTTCCACTGCCCATGTCTGCATGTTAGGCTTTTGCCTATCCTTGTCTCTCCTGCGATTGTATCCTCCACAGGTGCATGCGCCAGTATTAGAAATAATCAAAACCCGCCAGTGTCCATGTCAGCATGCCAAGCCTTCGCCTCGCCATGATCATTGTCATTGTCTCTTCCCGCCAACCCCCCACATTGTATTCTCCGCAGGTGTGTGCGTCTGGCTCGGTTCGAAAACGATCGGACCATCTCCTTCATCCCACCTGATGGGGCCTTTGATCTTATGACCTACCGGCTTAGCACTCAGGTCAGAATCTCCGTCATTCGCCCCTTCCCTTCCCCTCTGCTCTCCTGTCCATCTCGCTCATCTCACCTGATGGGGCAGTCGATCTCACCGGGTTCGCCTGGATGGGACGGATGGTTGGTATTCTATCGATTGGACATTCACTTTCTGCATGCATGCATGCGCCACACATGACCACACCAGGTGACTTTTGAGACGTCTCAAAAGTTGATACTCTATCGATTGGACATTCATTTTCTGCATGCATGCATGCATGCGCCACACATGACCACACCGGGTGAAACCACTGATCTGGGTGGAGGCGATGGTGGAACGGCACTCGCGCAGCCGAGTGGAGTACATGGTGAAGTCGAGGGGCCAGTTCAAGGAGCAGTCGACACACAGGCTCTTTTTCTTCCAACCGTGTGTTTTATTTGCTGCATGCACCGCACTCCACCACACCCCACCAGGTGAAACCCCTCATCTGGGTGGAGGCGATGGTTGAGAGGCATTCCCGCAGCCGAGTGGAGTACATGGTGAAGGCGAGGAGCCAGTTCAAGGAGCAGTCGACACACAGGCTCTTTTTCTTCCAACCGTGTGTTTTATTCGCTGCATGCACCGCACTCCACCACACCCCACCAGGTGAAACCCCTCATCTGGGTGGAGGCGATGGTTGAGAGGCATTCCCGCAGCCGAGTGGAGTACACGGTGAAGGCGAGGAGCCAGTTCAAGGAGCAGTCGACACACAGGCTCTTTTTCTTCCAACCGTGTGTTTTATTCGCTGCATGCACCGCACTCCACCACACCCCACCAGGTGAAACCCCTCATCTGGGTGGAGGCGATGGTTGAGAGGCATTCGCGCAGCCGAGTGGAGTACATGGTGAAGGCGAGGAGCCAGTTCAAGGAGCGCTCAACTGCAACGTCCGTGGAGATAGAGCTGCCGGTGCCCATGGACGCCATTGACCCCGCCGCCCGCACCTCCATGGGCACCGCTACGTACACGCCCGAGCGCGAGGCCATCCTCTGGAAGATCAAATCGTTCCCCGGAGGCAAGGTGGGTGGCGCTGTTTGGTTCGGCATTTAGGTGCTCTGTACGTAGCGTGTATGCATGCTTAAAGCATCAGTGCGTGCACGTACACCCCAGAGGGAAGCTGAGTGCTGCCCTGTGCCCCCATCTTCTCTAACCCCCGTGCATAGCAGTGTTCCCCCACCCATGAGCCTCACTTTCTACCTACACCGTTCTCACTTCAATCCCTCTCAGTAGTGCCTGCTGTGGGCGTGTTTCAGCCTGCTCAGTGTGGCAACAATAAGATTCACAGGTGTCCCCAAACCCTGCATCTTCATGTTGCAAACCCGTGATACGCATGTTCCCCTACCCCTTTGGCTTCACTTTTCATCTCCACCCTTGGGTCTCCCCCCTCAGGAGTACCTGCTGCGAGCGCGTTTCAGCCTGCCCAGTGTGGCAGCAGAGGATGACGTGGCAGAGAAGAAGGCTCCGATCCGCGTGAAATTCGAGATACCCTACTTCACAGTCTCTGGCATCCAGGTGAGAAATTCAGTGTTTCTGTCAGGTGTTCAGGTGAATTGACAGATTGTGCATACTGTTGGGTCACCTGTTGTGTGGGTCACCAAGGCTTCTCAGCCCGAGGAGATGTTACAGCCTAACGCACTGGTTGCTGATTTTAATGTTGGTTTTCAGTTCAAAATCAGAGTCTCTTTCTCACACTCGTTTCTGCCTCCCATCCCTGTCGTCGCAACCTATCCCTTTCTGTTTCACGGAACTCTCTACATCCATCCAGGTGCGTTATCTCAAGATCATTGAGAAGAGCGGCTACCAAGCATTGCCGTGGGTGCGTTACATCACAATGGCTGGCGAGTATGAGCTGCGCATGATATGAAGTGAAACAAGGCTGCCTAGGCTAAATCTTCCAATAAAACAAGTCCTGTCATCGTCCCATCTCATGCATCACTCCATTTAGGACAATTACTGTTCTGTATTATGTGGATCTCAGTAGCGAAGGGTCCTTCTCCGATCATTTGAATGCTGACCAAAAGCACTTCTGAATCTAACACTGAACGAAATGCAATAGTGGTTGGTCTGGTGTTCTGCTACCGTAACTGCCATTGCAGTGGTAGAGGGGATTCAAAATCAAACCAACACCATGCCACAGTCCTAGGGATGTGTAAAAACATAGCTGGAGAATGGCACAGGTGGGGAAACCAGCATTGGTAGCTTCGTTAGCTTCTCACTAAGTGCATGCAAAAGAACCCACATTTTATTACCATTCAAGCTTACCCATCCAGCACAGCACCCTATTACTCGGACAGCCCCCTCACATAAGACTGATTTCCATCCCCCATTCTAAAACCCACCCGCCCAACCTTCTACTGAAATCGAGCTACTGGTTCCCAACAGACCAATCGACCCTAAACAGCTGTTTTCGGTCCACTTCTACCCATGATAATCAGAAACTCCCAGGAATCCCCTGGCCTAGAATCAGAATCTGCGTGTGATTGAGTGCATGACACGAGCATCTAGCAGTCTTCCTTGCAGTCTCCGTACCTGTCCTCGCAGTGGCCCCTCTTCTTGGAGTAGCACTGGCGCCTGTAGTACTCGCACCAGTCCGTGCAGTCCCACTTGCCGTACTTGCACGCCTTGAAGTTCCTGTACGCCTTCACCTCACACGCCTTGGACTTCTTCTCGCACTCGTTTTTGTCGTCGTCGCACTTGGCCTTGTCCTCGCACTTCTTCTCGTCCTTGTCGCACTTGGCATAGCGCTTCTTGTACTTTTCCATGCACGTCGGCTCGTCGTCGTCATCGTCGTCTTCGTCGTCGTCGTCGTGTTTGTCGTCGTGATGATCGTCGTCTTGTTTGTCGTCGTGTTTGTCGTCGTGTTTGTCGTCGTGTTTGTCGTCGGTTAGAATGCGCCTGTCTCCACCCATGAGAGCAGGGAAGCGCCGCTCTGCACTCACAGATAAAGAGGCTCGTTATAGTACATTGAAACAGAAACTCCACAGCGCGTGACCAGACCAATATTATGTACACTTTCTTTCAACCAAGGGGGAAAGGAGGGCTCAACCTTACTAGTCCCACTAGTCCCACATGTGGGACTATCGCACATAGTATGTGGTTCAACCTCCCACAAGAGAGACTTACCGGCGACAGCAGGAACGGGATCAGACTCGGAAACTGCGTTCGCCTCCGCAACAGGCGTCGCGGTTATGGCGAGCAGTGCGGACAGAAGAACCAGCCCGGAGAGCAACATGAAAGTCTTCATGCTGGCAATAACGGGGAAAATCTGACTGTACTGACAGGGTGCAGGGGATGGCTGAAATCTAGACGATTGATGGAAAACTGTCAAATGGTGTGATCGTTAGAAGAGTTTCTGCTGTTATGGGAAGGAAATAGGGGCATATTTATAGTCGCAAGGTAAACCAAGGCTGATCTCCCCACATTTCGTGAAATCGCGTCGCGAATCATGGCTGCTTTGGGTGAATACCAGCGAGGGAGGAGATTCCTGAAGGGGGGGGTTCTCCTGGGGTGAAATGTGGTGTTGGCAAGATTTGGGGCAAATTTGTTGACGAAATTGCGACTCGCACGACGAAACATGCGCCGTGGTGGCGCCTCGGCTACAGACAGTCGGCCAGAAAAGACAGCCATTTGGTCATTCAGCCATCAGGCAAAGTGGAAGCGTCTCTGATATTAGCTGACCTGGTAAGCGTCTCGCATCGCACATGAACACTTACGATTTTAAACGGAACTACCCGAAATATCCGAATACAAAATCCTGGTCTCTTGCACGTCTTTCAGCTGATTGCGCATCACTTACCTCAAACATTTGTGGTGTTTGAATCTGCCCCCAAATCTTATCACCCACTTTCCTCCCCAACCTCCCTCCAAGGCTACACTTCGGGAAGCTCGGGAACGAACCTGGCTGCTTCGCTCAAAAGACGGCCGCGGCTCGTCCCAGGCTGAGGTGGCCCATTTGCCACAGCACTGAGCTGGATCGAAGGTTGGGGGGGGGGAAGGGGGGAGGGGGAGGGGGAAGGTTGGGTTGGAAGGTTTCTTTGTTGACGGCGGAAGCCGAGCGCAGCGCCTCGGGATTGCTGGTGCAATATACTCCACTTCGATACTTAAGTTTACAAGTATTGCTAACCTCTAACATAACTCATATCTGTATTGTGAAGCTGTTTCATGTTTCTCAGAATTCTGCAACACACAAATTTCTCCTTTCATGGTTTTACGTTCGGGCCGATTTCTGCTATCGCCCTTGTTGCGAATAGTAATTATTGAAGCATCACTATGCACTCCTTGCCGCAACAATCGAAGCACGCACTACCAAGGATGAAGGCGATAAGGCAGAAGTGACACGAAGCGTCGTACGGTTATGAAAAGGATCTGGACCGTCGGCAGACACCATCAGGCAGCAGCAGTGGCGAGGATTCTGCCCGGACAGTTTCGTAACTGTCTGGAGTCGCACGGCTGGATTTCGCTGTAATAAGGGAATGTACCGCTTATAGCACATGGCTAGCTAGGTCGATTCGTATTCCTTCCTATACTCTTATTTATACCTCTGTACTTGCATGTTTCAATCATCTCATATATTTTACATCCACTCTGCTATTGAGGTCAAGGGCCCACCACCACTACTCAGTTGAATACGAACCTTCCCGAGGTGATCCTAAGGACGATCAACTTCTAATCGCAGCAGCCCTCATTCAAGATCAACGTCACATGCCCACTTGCAATTTCTGATAAAAAATGATTCCAAAATAATAGGTAAAAACAAAAACAAAAAAATCCCCCTTTTACACTACACATCATATCCGAATGCCTCATTCCTGCCAGCAATCATTCTTGTTGCGCTTGTTCTTATAGTCACAATTGTCATTGTAATATTCCTTGCACTGCTAGATCACGAACTTGCACCAGTCATAACAGCTATTTTAGATGACGAGGGCTTCGCGTCGCCGTACTTGCACGCCTTCAATTCCTGTACGCCTTTGCTTCGCAACTCTCAATCTTTCGCGTGCTCTGGTGAACAAATAGTGGTTTCCTTGCTTGAAGGAATGTTTAGGCGTGGATATATGGCTGCGAATGCTACTGCGGAGTGGTGAACCTGAAATATGTGGAAGGAATGCGGAAGGCGAGTGCCCAAGCCCATCTCTGGCGAATTTAGACTGCCATACATGGTTAGCGGCTCGTTTCAACATTTAGGCTCACGGTTCTGGCTTGGAAGCCCACCTGCTTGCGCCATTGGTCCGAGAAACATCTACTACCTCAGTCTCGCCCCCACTGGGCGATGATCGACATGCCATCAGGTTGGTGTTGGGGGTCTGTGGTTCCCGAAGAACCACGTCAGTGGGAATGGTCTGTCAGGCTTCGTATGAGCAAGCGATTGTCATAATACTGAACGAGAATGGATGAACTAAGATCAAAGTGGGTACAAGTACTAACCCTTATTGGGTTGTACCCCTTATGGGCTACCCACCCCACTACAGCCTAAATAATATAAGCATTATAACATTTTGACACACCCCCATAGAGGGGGGAGAACAGGAGGTCACAAGAACAGTCAAGAAAAAGCAAAGCAAGCTGAGGGTGGATCACAAAGTCAACACACACTCTGAGCACAAGCAAATGGCCACAAGGCCAGTTCACATGCAGAACTATATAAACGAGAACAAACAGTACAGTGATCATAACCTAGCAGGGGTAAGCATGCAGGTATATGTATATAGATCACAGTACAAGCAAAGTAACGCAGTGAGCAAGTGAGACAAAACAGGCACAAGGCCTAAAACAGTACAGAAACACTGATGATCACCAGACTGAAGTGCCTTGGTGAATATGCCTGCAGTGTTGGCCCAAGTGGCCACGTAAGCAAGACAAAGCTGACATCGCTAACGCAACTCTCGAGCAAGGAAGTAACGCAGAGCGATGTGCTTCTTTCTGTGCTCCAGTATGTGCTCCTGACACAAGGCAATCATGGCCTTGTTGTCTACGTACAGATCTGGAGGAGAACGAGGCCGCTCTCCCAAGTCGGTCAGCAGGTAGGTGAGTCAGCGAAAATCCTGTGCAGCCATGGCCCCTGCGTAGATCTCGGCCTCACAACTGGAACTGAGAACAGAAGAAGAGCGGGTAGACCGCCAAGAAACAGAGCCGGAGCCAAGGCTAAAACTGTAACCCAGTGACGACCGCTGCGTAGCCAAGTCGTCAACCCAAGACGCGTCTACGTGTCCAGCGAGGACAACTGGACCCCGTCCTCCAAGCACGAGCCCCATGCCCGATGTACTGCACAGGTAGTGCAACACCCTCTTAGCGGCCTCCCAGTGCTCTGGTCGGTGTCTCCCACGCACAACGTAGCGTGCCAGGATGCTAAGAGGGTAGGCAAGGTCAGGTCGAGTGCAGGTCATCAGGTACATGAGGTAGCCCACAAGCTCTGGATACGGGCCACTCGGCTCTACGGACTCGTCCGAAGGTGGAGCTGAGAGCGAGTGACCGGTAGGCAGAGGTGTGGACTGTGGTGAGGAGTACCGGAAGCCAAAGCGCTAAAGGACCTGGTGCACCATGTGTGACTGAGTCAGGGTGATGGTGCGCCGTGCTCTGTCCCGGGTGATATGCAAGCCAAGATAGCTGCGCAGCCCACCCAGCTCAGTGCACGTGTCTCTCTTCCGCAGCTCCGAATTCACAAGGGCCGATGCCTCAGTGTCAGCAGTGGCAAAAACCAAGTCGTCGACGTACACGAGGATGTAGAACGGCGACAGCGAAGTGTCGGAATGCAGAAACAGCGATGGGTCAGCAGTCAAAGGAGCAAACCCAAGAGCCGCAAGCGTCGTCCTCAGTGTGTCGTGCCACTCGCGAGGCGCCTGGCAGAGACCGTAGATTGGCCGCCGG